AATAACAAATTAGACGGATTTGATCTGTAATGACGAATATTCTCGACCCAGTGACTAAACAGGGTGACCAAACATTAAACTTGAATGGTAACTGACCAAAACGGTTTTGTAATAGCATGTGAAATTTTTGGTGGATGAAATTGAATGATACAGTTGGTGAATTTGAAAGACATATCTTTTAAAATAGCCGGGAAAACCTATAATTTCACCTAAACTCGCGACCTATCCGACAATCCATGTTATCATAATTTGACTTCTGCAACTTGACATATAGGACGGAGACGCACTACGTTAATTTGTGTTCTGTATACAGGGTGGAAACACCTCTAACCCCCCCCCCCCTAAAAAAAATGCAACCCTAAAACATTGCCTATTAAAAAAAATGATCGGTGATTTTTTATGTTTTGGTGATGAGATTAAAGCTGAGAGCTTTTTCTTTCAAATACTGAAGATATCATGAATGTAGCACTTTGGGTTGCTGAGTAAATGCCAATTATGTAAAAGTAGTCATTTTTCATCCTTTACACAATTACTTCAAACAGTGAAACATTTTACTGTAAGCCCTAATGTGCAAGTATCCTTCGTTTGTGCAATTTCTTTAGTTTTTTGACATATTTATGATGCTAAAAGGGTTTAAAATAGGACTACAAAGGATGAGATACAGGTGGAAAATAAAAGGTATTCCCATCAAATTCATTTGTACTCTTGTAATATAGGTTTTCCCGGCCACTTTCCTAAAATGTTCATTCACTTCTGAAAATCGGTCATTCATTTTCGTGTGAATTTGAGAATCTCTCTGAACACTCGTTTCTTTTTCGCTACCAGGACATGCGATTCCATTTCAGTTCAATCAATTAAGTGATTGAGCAGCACATTTCGCTTATGTTCATTCAGATTCGTTTACAAGACTTTCTTTTCGCTTTTAGAGGGCGATTTCAAACATTGGCATTCTATTTCACTTTTAGCTTAATGCTATGTGATGCAATCTGCTATTTTAAATGAGAAAAACGTACTTTTCGTGATTGCATATTCACGAAATTGTGTGCCAGAACTCTGCGCGAAAAGGTATGCTCGCGTAAATGAATGCACAGGTAACGTAATTGGCCGTCTGTTTCTCAAAACCGAATGCTCGGACAATGAAAACGATTGAACTTTCGTTGAATTGAAATGGGATTAAAGACGCGCATTCAAAATAAGACGAAAAAGAATGACCGATTTGAATAAACAATTTAGGAAATTGGCCGGGAAAACCTATATTACGTGCCGTGTTTGTAAGGATTAGGACATGCACAAAAAATAGGTACCGTATAAAAATCCCTTTCTGTGGTATTTTTGTGTGTGTACAGGATGAAAAATGACAACTTGAACATAAATGGCATTTTTTTCAGCAACCCAAAATGCTATTTTCATCATTTTTTTTCAGTATTTGAAGGAAAAAGCTCTGAGTTTTAATCTGATACCCAAAACATAAGAATTATCGATCCTTTTTTTTTTTTTAAAGGCAAATGTTTTAGGGTTGCATTTTTTGGGTCACCCTGTATAGTTGCTTCCGGCCGTATGACTGTCATGAATGCATGCGGTCACGAGCTATGATTTAAACGTAGCCGTACTAACGTTGTACAAAGGCTTCATAGGTGTGTGAATTAGTTCAAATGACAAGACAAGCTTCGGTAATATGCCCAGAACATAATACTCACCTGTCCCGCTTCCCCTGACTCGCATGTGAAAGCCACAACTGCAAATAACCAAACAAATCGAACAAGATTTTAGCAAGCAGTACATTATCCATTTTAGTCAACCTGTCCGAGACAAGCTTCAAGTATTTGAAAGTCATGTATTCTTTATGTGAGTTAAGTGAGTTATGTGAGTTAAGCACACATTCGCAGTCAGAGCTATTTCAATTCTGATCGGTTTAACCTTGCGCAGAGTGACCTGCTGCCCTTTGGGCCCGGGGTAAACGAATTTTTTGAAGAAAAAAAAATGAGGGCCAATGACGGTCACCTTCCATCTAATCCTCATTCGACCCTTGCCAAATAAGCTGGTTTAATGAACTTTGCAACCAGAGCTACACCCAGGCCGTGTCAACAAACTTTCGACCAGGCCACCTGCCAAGTCTCATTGAAACATCAACAAAGACCTGTAACTTGACACAGTCATCTCCCTTCCTAACTGCATACCACAGCCGCCAGTCAATTATCTTTCCAGCGCACTGTCTGGCAACTGTCTGGACACTGTCTGGCACGTGGCTTTTTGTTGTATTGCTATGACTAGGGTCTTGTGTAGTGCGGGAAAGTACCTGCTGCCCAAAGGGCAGCAGTTGACGAGTTGTTGCAAAGTTTTTTTGTAAACGCTGCGCAGGTTTAAATACATGCTTCTTGTTGGTTCTTGTTTCAAGTTGAGATTGATCAAAATACTTCTTTTCATAACCACACGAGCGGGTGAAGTGAAAAGAGGGCAAGCATCGAAATGTATTTGTTGCGACATACTGTTTTTCCCCGCATTATAATCAACAGTTGCTTGTTTGAAACAATAATAATCATCAGTCCAGTTCATCATAGAATAAAACAGCACATCCAATCACTGAGCAAAACAAACCCAAACAAACAAACAAACAAACAAACAAACAAACAAACAAACAAACACGCCTTATATTACTGTCTTTTAGTTTCTCGCAAAATTTAACAAGTCTCCGGAATAACCAAATTATAGGCCTACAGCTCTGGTAAATTTATTTAATACAGTTCTTTACCTATGGCCGCCACGCAGATTAACAACGTACAGCGATTCATCCTCAACAGCTGGACTTTTTATCAACGACTAGTTTGATGATGGACTCCCTGTCGGTAACACGTACGAAGATTCGTCACAATGTAGCAAGCAGCTGATGAATAAGTGGTATCCAAAGCTTCCAAATAGTCCACTTATATCTTATTTCTACTGTCGTTTCACCTAACTACCACACTGCACGGCCATATGTTTGGCGCGCGTAGGCTTAGGCCTAATCCTGGGATCAAAACCATCGAAATATATAATCCTTAGCTTCTAATTAGAAACTCCTAAGCTTCCAATTAGTCCACTTATATCTCACTTCTACTGTCGTTTGACCTAATTACCAATGGAGATTATGCGCACTGCACGGCCATATGTTTGGCGCGCGTGGGATCCAGGGATCAAAGCCATCGAAATATATAATTCAGTGAAATATTCGAAGGACTGCAATAAAATACATATTTACATATTGCCTTGCTTGGGATGTAGAATAATAGAACCCTAATTAAGCACCTGTATGTTTTTAACGAAGTAACACAGTTAAACTGCTGCTAAAAATATGAGCCCTAGCTCCGTCTTTTGTATTTTTTCGAAATGACAAAATCTTCAATGCATTGCAAACTGTGTACAAAATATTGACGACCTCCGATGTCTATGAATTTTCACGAAGTGCAAAATGTCTCTGATGGTGAATTACGTAATCATTAATTGATTTTTTTGACTCGACCACTGTCAGTGACACATTTCAATCAAGTAAAATGTAAGCTTTCGGAAAGTATCACAAATGTGAAATGCCGTTGTCATAAAAAAAAGGTTGAAATGAAATGTTCAATATGGCTAACTTCAAAAGTGGTTATCTCAGAATGATTTGTTTTGCTGCAAATTAAGTTGTCGTCACTAAAGATCCATACATTCTACATTGTCACATGACCAGCATTTCACTTTTCATCCGGATCGCAAGTAAGCCTTAGTACCTACTACTTGTACCTCAGGTGGCGTATTTAGTAATTTTGTGGCTGTTTTGAGGGTGAAATATGATGTTTGTTGGCAAATGGTTGGGTTGGTGATTACTCCAAACGCCATGTCTAACAAAAGTAACATTCTATCTACTACCGCCAGATATCAAAATCGTGTTAAAAAAGGCGACAAGTTTAAAGTAGGTCCAAAATAAGTTACTTGGTCTATTTCTACCTCAAGAAACTGTTGAAAATTACAAACAAAGTTGTCATTAGAAATAAATTGGAATCAAGAGATCTCTGCTTTAGGCCAAAAAAAAAGAGTCTCCGGTATCTGGTATGCGACAACGGATGAAGTAACTTGCGAACTATTGTCCAATTACATGATACATGTATACAAATGGACGCGGAACGCGCAAAATCTTGGACAAACAAAAGTTAGTGTACACAAACTCCGTAGGGTTGTCTAAGGGGCGTGGCTAGCTCGCAAACGGCGATAGGTCAATATAAATTATAAGGCGCAGGGGAATATTTTTTTCGCAATTCTAATTGCAGGGTTCCTACAACTTTAAGACAATAAAATTTGATGCCTTTTCCGTGACACTCATTTGGAATTCAGTGGCGGACCGGGGTGGGGGGGTGGGGTGGGGTGGTGGAATGGAGGGGGCATCCCCCCACCTCTCTGGATCCGCCCTTGAAATCATTATAAAACGTTCGAATCTACGTATACACTTCTTTTTATTCTCAAAAGGATATGGCATATATTTCCATACAGTTACTTCTATGGGACATGTTTTTGATTAGAGGTTTGTAAAACACATTATTTTAGAAGAGAGCTCATTTGCTAAAAAGGGACAGAGCAGAGTGAAAACATCAGCAAACTAGAAAGCACCCAGAGAGCGCACACCACCAAGGCTAAACAATTCCCGCCATATTGTCAGTACACCAAATGGTGAAGAATCATGACACAATTTCCTGGATCCAGACCAAGACCTGGATCACTTCCAAAATCGAATTGATTTGCACTTGTACCAAGGACCACCCCTAAAAATATCTTCATGCAAATCCGTCCATAACATTTTGAGTTACATCTGTTAACCCCTTAAGGACGGGGTGTAATGGGGACATTCCTCCACACATAGAGCAAGTGGCCCGCATGACTGCACAGCCTTTGTGTGGTAGCGGGACTGCACAAAAGCAGCAGCTGTGGAACTACCCACTAGCCGTGTGCCACGGCATACCACAGCTGGCAACTGTATTCCAATGAGGATTAGCGGCCGCGGCCATGACCGCTTCCCGTACGCATGGGGTTCAGACAAACCAACCAACCAACCCTGATGAAAACATAACCTCCTAGGCGTAAACTACAAATGGAAACTTGAGGTACCGGTACATACGATGTACTTATATCATAAATATCAAGCAGACCAACATTTACTGGAGATATAGTAATATCTCTCTATTGCAAGTGGAACAGAGAATAATGTAGTGCACCTATGTCCCACAATCCACGAGGCCGTAGCGTTATTCGTTGCTGCATTTATTTGCCGACACTGCAGACACACGATTTTGCCGACGGGAGGATTTTGCCCGAAACAATGGATAATGGAGGGGTGTGCACTCCTACCCTGCACCCGCCCATGCGAATAAGGAGCACAGAATCATGTTTGGACGTGAAAACTAAATCGGCAATTTTGGATAGTGAACAGCGCCCTCTGTTGTTGGAGGCATATCGTTCGACCAGAGACTAATGCCCGACTTGTATCTCTGAAGCTTCTTCACTTGAAAAAGAAGAGATTCAACACACAACTGTTTTTTTTGTTTCCTTCGGCCGGCAACTTAAAGAACTGTTTGTTTTACCTATACCACTTCAGAGGTCATTGACCTTTGACCTAGTCATACAGTCACTTTGCTGATCTTGAAGGGTGCAACCCTGCATTAAAATTCCCATAGACACCAGTGCTAATTAATGTCCATACTCAGAACTCTCACAGGTATTTAAGCTTCACAGAAAAATGATGATCAACATGTCATCTTTCATTTTCTTTTCATTTTTTGGTGGGTTGACCATTGACTTTTCGAGATATTAATTCCCACCCAAAGAAGACAACCCCTAGTTTCCCCAAAGTGGAAAGGCAGAAAAAAGCTCCCCCCACAACATGGAAAAATAGCGCTACTTTGGAGCCCAATTGCATCCAAAATGCTCAGAATTGGAAGCCCCAAGTCCGGGCCAGAGGTTCATTGCCATATCTCTTCAATTCCCCAATTTTATGGCCCTCAGAACTCTCTAATATAGAATTTTGGAGGGTATAACTTTTATTCACGAGCTCGACGGATGGATTCAGGCCTATTTACCAGTGTGCATCGGAAGCTATACATGAAGTCAGTGTCAAGACGCCATAACAAATTCTCAGATGCAAAGCACGTAACCACACTAGAGTCAGCCCAAAGACCTAATGCAATTCAACACCGTGAAGGTCATCACATGGATCAGTTCAGATTCAGAAATCCAGTTTACTCCGACCGCCTAGTGACCCGCAGCCGATAGAGGGCGCTATTGCTCTCGGAACTGGATCCTCCTGCGTCCTGCTGACTGTTTCCGGCAACTCTGGAGGTAGATGTAATTTCTGTCATAAAAAAAAAAAATATTCTAAAGTTGAAAGTTGCTGTTTACCGAGTCACTGACTTGTAATATACAAATGTGAGGGTGTTACAAATTCCGGCGATTCACAATGCAGTGCGCCACCAAGAGTTTGCCACGGAGAGTTCGTTTTTGTCAAGTTTACGGTCGACAAAACATGGCCCATTTGAACGAGTGTCAGTAGAAAACATGAGCTAATATGTTATAGATTGGGGCAAAGCGTTCTGCCGCCTTACAAAAAAACCCTCCATATCGATAAAAAGACAAGAAAAGAGCAGAACTTTCTGGCCAGAAAAACTAACAATTTCAAATGTCCCGTGCTGCGAATTTGTCGACCATCTCCCACAATGCACTGGGAAAAATGAACTCTCCGTTGCAAACTCTTGGTGGCGCACTGCATTGGGAATCGCCTGAATTGCAACTGCCGTAGTAACAAACGGATAACGTATCACCAGTCGATAATGTCACAAAAAATTAATGGTACTGTATCACTAACATAATGCAACCGAAATTGACCGATAGTGTACAAAAAGTAGTAAAATCAGTCAAGAACACTATCAGTCAAGTGTTAGTTGTTACAATATTGGTCCTAACCGATAATGTAACAATTAACTCTAGCGGGATGCGGGTTCTACCATTTCGCTGGAGCAGCTGATACAGATACAGATAATGTAACAAAAATTGACTGATAGTGTAGTAACACTTACTACACTTTGTGACATTATTGGTTAGTATAGGTTATCCGTTGGTTACTACATCGTTGCGTCAGTGCAACAAGGTCATATCCATCCTGCAACAAAGCGGTTTCTTGCGCGAATACGTACACTCTGCAGTGGCGGATCCAGAGAGGTTCGTGCCGGGGGGCGCAACGGCTCATTCGAGTGAAAAAGGGCCTAAATTTTACAAAATTTTGGTCACTGCGGGGGGGGGGGGGGGGGGGGGGGGGGGGGGGGGCACGCCCCCGTAGTACCCCCCTGGATCCGCCAATGCTCTGTGCAACAAGGTCGTATCTCGACGTCGATCTACTGACTTCGTATGTACATCCTGGTTTTTTTAAGTGAGATACGAACTTTTGACATTCTGAAACTCACGTTTCACGTACGGCCCGTTTTAGGAGATACGCCCTTGTTGCACGGACACAACATTATCAGTTGTAACAAAGGTCGTTTTTGGCTCCATAGAATTGGCCACTGGTCTACTCACCTCAATAGTTAGTTTCTTCCTCTTCAACTTGAAGGCAAGGTCCATAGTGTCAGGCATGTGACCAGTCAGTGAGTTCAACCTGGGCAGCTGTTTGATGTGAAATAAGCCTGCACAAACCAACGGTTTGACAAGTTTCATTAACCCAAACCGCTATTCATAAATACCTGAGACAGTTAAGCCATTCCTATTGGTCGAGAGCCTGTCACGTGGACGGTCTTAAACGGATGATAAAGACATGGCGAGCTGGTCTTAAACACTTTTCCAGTGTCACAATAAAATGTGGACTCCTAAAAATCCAGTGCCTCTTACCGTTTCATTGGTTGAACATTCACAATCCTCACGTAGGCATGCGCAACACTACCAGCGAGTCAGAATTTTATAGTTCTAAATTCAAAACGCAACGCCCCAGGTGCGTTCTGCGCGACATCGCGCAGAACATGCTACGTGCGCGTCAATCTCCATAAAAGGGTTGTTTACATCTTACTCGCCAGCTGAACACTCCATTATTTTGCTACTAGAGGGATGTTTCAAAAAGCATGAAGTTAACTTGTTGAACAAACTCGGGATTTTTTGAATGAATTATTTGATTTTTTTTTACCGAAAAGGTACTTATGAATGGGAATAAATGTGTGCTCGGTCGGTATTTATCACTCTGTTTAAGACTGCTTAGAGTCTGGGTGCTGATAATTACCCTCGAGTGATAAAAACCTCCGTAGCACACATTTATTCCCTTATTAAAGAGAATATGTGGAATACTCGAAGTCATTTCCGTCATTTTTGGGTATATGTAGCCTAAGGTGTGATGAAATAAAAACAACTATTGTGTCTGTCATGAAATGAGTACAAAGGGTACTTTTGAGAGCTATTTTTCAGGTCCTGTTTCGACACGAACGTGCAATTTGTGTAAAAGTCGTCGTTGCGAGCAGCAAACAAAACACAATAAATCGTGACGTAATAAACAGGACTCGTTTATGCTACTCTGCATCGGGAGTCCTGTTTATTACGTCACGATTTACTGTGTTTTGTTTGCTGCCCGCAACGACGACTTTTACACAAATTCCACGTTCGGGTCGAAACAGGCATGACAGGACTTGAGAAACAGCTCTCAAAAGTACCGTTTCTACTCATTTCATGACAGAAACAATAGTCGTTTTTATTTCATCACACCTTAGGCTACATATACCCGAAAAATGACGGAAATGTCTTCGAGCATTCCACAACCTCTTTAAAAACTTGAACCCAAATGACATCCATCAACCACCTGAACGTGCACCCATGACATCACTCATCCGCTAAACTTGCATCATACCCTTATGATTGATGATACCCGTAAGCATACTTTAACCAGGCATGCAACTGATAAGTAACAAAAGAAGAGGAAACTCCGATCTATACAAGACCTCGTGCAGTGGTTTTACATTTTTAATGGCGTAAGTGTGAAGTGAAAAACGAGGAAATCAGCTGGTCTGAGGAAAAGTTGCATGCCTGTTTAACCCCATGGGCCCGGGAAGCGGTCATGGCCGCGGCCGCTAATCCTCATTGGAATGCAGTTGCCAGCTGTGGTATGCCGTGGCACACGGCTAGTGGGTAGTTCCACAGCTGCTGCTTTTGTGCAGTCCCGCTACCACACAAAGGCTGTGCAGTCATGCGGGCCACTTGCTCTATGTGTGGAGGAATGTCCCCATTATAACCCATGCTTAAGGGGTTAACACCTCTACACCCTGATGATCTTGTCCCCATGCGATACCCCTTCAAAGTTGAACCCACTATGGCACCCCACAACCAATGAAATGGCACCCCTATGAAACCAGTCAAACCCTGAACTAGCACTTTTAAGACACCCCTCCACCGCTAAGCCTGCACCTCTATGACACTCGTCAAGCCCTGGACCTGCGAATATATGACACCCGGAAGCCCAGTAACAATGCACCCCTCATCTCCCAAACTTGTACCCCTATGACACCACTCAACCCTTAAATCTGCACCCCTAATATAACTTGCACTCCCAACACTCTTCACCCCCTATCCTTGCATCCCTTCGACCCCTCAACTCCTAAATTGGCACCTCTGACACACTGCAACCCCTGACCCTGCACTGCTATGACCCTGAACTTGCACCCTGACATGCCTATAACCTCCACTCTTGACTTTGCAAACCTATGTTCATGACTACCCATTTATTACCCAAACTTCCACCCCTATCACACCCTTCAACCACTGAACTTGCACCCATATGACACCCCTAAATCCCTATTAATGCACCCCAATGGCACCACCACCTCCCGATTTGCACCTCATTAACACCCCTAATTAGCCCCTCAACTTGCACCTCTAAAAAAACACCCCTATATGCACCCTCAACCCTTATCACACCCCAAAGCACGAACTTACACCCTTATGAAAACCCTCATGCCCTGAACTTGCACCCCCTATGACACCCCTCAAACCATGAACTTTTACACCCCTATGAAAACCCTCATGCCCTGAACTTGCACGCCTATGACACCCCTCAAACCATGAACTTACACCCCTATGAAAACCCTCATGCCCTGAACTTGCACGCCTATGACACCCCTCAAACCATGAACTTACACCCCTATGAAAACCCTCATGCCCTGAACTTGCACCGTATGACACCCCTCAAACCATGAACTTACACCCCTATGAAAACCCTCATGCCCTGAACTTGCACCCCAATGACACCCCTCAAACCATGAACTTACACCCCTATGAAAACCCTCATGCCCTGAACTTGCACCCCTATGACACCCCTCAAACCATGAACTTACACCCCTATGAAAACCCTCATGCCCTAAACTTGCACCCCAATGACACCCCTCAAACCATGAACTTACACCCCTATGAAAACCCTCATGCCCTGAATTTGCACCCCTATGACACCCCTCAAACCATGAACTTACACCCTATGAAAACCCCTTATTCCCTGAACTTAGACCCCGATGACACCCCTCAAACCATGAACTTACACCCTATGAAAACCCTCATGCCCTGAACTTGCACCGCTATGACACCCCTCAAACCATGAACTTACACCCCTATGAAAACCCTCATGCCCTGAACTTGCACCCCAATGACACCCCTCAAACCATGAACTTACACCCCTATGAAAACCCTCATGCCCTGAACTTGCACCCCTATGACACCCCTCAAACCATGAACTTACACCCCTATGAAAACCCTCATGCCCTAAACTTGCACCCCAATGACATGAATGACACCCCTCAAACCATGAACTTACACCCCTATGAAAACCCTCATGCCCTGAATTTGCACCCCTATGACACCCCTCAAACCATGAACTTACACCCTATGAAAACCCCTTATTCCCTGAACTTAGACCCCGATGACACCCCTCAAACCATGAACTTACACCCTATGAAAACCCTCATGCCCTGAACTTGCACCGCTATGACACCCCTCAAACCATGAACTTACACCCCTATGAAAACCCTCATGCCCTGAACTTGCACCCCAATGACACCCCTCAAACCATGAACTTACACCCCTATGAAAACCCTCATGCCCTGAACTTGCACCCCTATGACACCCCTCAAACCATGAACTTACACCCCTATGAAAACCCTCATGCCCTAAACTTGCACCCCAATGACACCCCTCAAACCATGAACTTACACCCCTATGAAAACCCTCATGCCCTGAATTTGCACCCCTATGACACCCCTCAAACCATGAACTTACACCCTATGAAAACCCCTTATTCCCTGAACTTAGACCCCGATGACACCCCTCAAACCATGAACTTACACCCTATGAAAACCCTCATGCCCTGAACTTGCACCGCTATGACACCCCTCAAACCATGAACTTACACCCCTCTGAAAACCCTCATGCCCTGAACTTGCACCGTATGACACCCCTCAAACCATGAACTTACACCCATATGAAAACTCTTAACCCCTGAACTTGCACCCCTATGACACCCCTTAAACCATGAACTTACACCCCTATGAAAACCCTTAACCCCTGAACTTGCACCCCTATGACACCCCTTAAACCATGAACTTACACCACCTATGACACCCCTCAAACCATAAACTTACACCCATATGAAAACCCTCATGCCCTGAACTTGCATCCCTGTGACACCCCTCAACCCCTTATTTAACCCCAATGCTACCCCTCCACCCACGAGCTTGCCCCCTATGCCACCCTTCCACCCATGAGCTAGCACCCGTTCCTCACCATGATACTCCTTGTATACAGGATTCTTTTCCTTCTCTGATCCAGCGAATGATTCCAGCTCGATGGCCGTGTCGCACAACCTCTCCAATCTTCTTGTCACAGCTACATCCTGCAAGAAATAGAAATAAACAAATCAATAATGACAGCAATCTTCGTCATCTGTGTTATCAACATGGCCCATTTACGCTGGAAACATGACCTTATATCATACATGCATTTGACAACAGACAACGTACACCCTTAAAGGGAAAATACAACATTTGCAAACATCAAAAAAATAAAACTACCAAATCATTTTGAAATACCTTGCTGGACTGTTAGTGAATGCCAGTGTGAAGCATCCTGTAAAATCATGGCACCTGGTATACTGTCATTTTCAAGAAAAGTGGTATTTTTGTATCAATTTCCAACGCTGGTCGGCCGATCAGCGTTGGAAACAACTGGCTTTTTTTCAAATACTGGCCCCAATTGACCATCGCACTTGTTTGCAATCGATTACACACCTATGAACGGGTACAAGCCAGCTAGACTGATTCCCTGACCTTACAATTCCCCAATGTATGTAAACTGCTGTTTCTTCTCATATGGAGTCAGGGAACCAGACTACAGGAAAATGATTGTTTTTCTTAGTTTTTATAGCATTTTCGAACCCAAAACCTCAAAAAAGTCAGTGTAACTATATTTGCTATATATTTCCAACCCCCCAATTCCATCCATTTCTGAAAATTACAGCAAAAGCAAATGATGTATATTCCCTTTAAAGGTACAGTCCATCATTTGTATTTTGTGCATTATGTTCGTTTGAAGCAACAAAAGTGCTCAAAATTTATAGAAGGGTGCTTAACAACTAACCTGATGAAATTTTAGCACTGTGATGAATGCCGTATATTCCGAGACAATATTCTAGGATCTTGATTTCAAATCAAAAGTTGCTGAGCCATGTCTTGAATTGGGCCTGAATTCAGCATCCGAGACACGTTCTCACTGAGCCGATTGCAGCTAAGATATGTCGCGACTGTCGCGTACCGACGAATTATAGCAACTGCGCGCACGTGTGTGTCAAGTCAATACTTGTGCCCGCTTCGCCGAATTATAATAATTTCACAGGGTGTTTAGTCCCATTACATGTACTATCTTCAAACCCAGTATGCTTTTAAACAATAGTTACGTCAGTTACTTTTTGGATAGCTGCAAATGATGGACTGTAGCTTTAAACTTTCTGAAATTCTATTGGTTTAAATGCGTCATGCTGAATCTTCCTTCACTGTAGTCTTATCGGCGTAGTTCACAAGTACGTGTCTATGAGCAGCCGATTTCACAAAACGGTACGTAACTTACGACATGCGTGGGACTAACGCAACAACTGCACAATAAACTTACGATCGATTTCACAAAACTTGGCGAAGCTGCGCGACGGTTTAAATAATCTAAACATCTTGGACGAGGATAACAACAACATTTACAATGGCTGTTTGAGTATGATTTTGTTAGTCCATGAAACAGTCGTTGAATCATCTAGGCCCGCCATTTTGAAAATATTTTTGTCTGACTTTCTTTGGAATCACGGGGCAACTCTAAAAACTTGGTCACAATTCAAAATAGCAAATTCGCTTACTTCAAACAAAAAAGCTGTGAGTGTCTTGTTCTCTTGTATCAACCTTGATAAGTTGTGTAATAACACATAAACAGGCTCCATGAGGTTAATGATTTACTGGTAATAATGGGTCCTTTCAGCTCAGTCGCTACGCCCACAACTTATGCCACTTAAAATGATTGCACAAGCTACACCATAATTTGTAGCGCAAATATGACAATGAAACTTTCTTGAAATTGTCATAACTGAAATGTTGCGCAGCGTGAAATGTTGCTCAACTTGCGCAATAAATTGTGGCGCAAGTGGACTTATGCCATTGTGTAGCGTTTTGTGAAATCGGCTGTTGAATATAGATCTATTGGTTCGCATGTGGCTATATACATGTAATTGAGTTGACCTCATGTCAAAGGTCAAGAGGACAACCATGTGCTCACGGTTCTCAGACTCTATAACTGACAGAAATAATAAACTGATGCCATATTCAAACTGACGTGACCGGTTTAAAGGTACAGTCCATCATTTGGAATTTGTGCATTTTTTTTGTTTGAAGCAACAAAAGTGCTCAAAATCTAAAGGGTGCTGAACAACTAACCTGATGATTTTTCAGCTCAGCTTCAGCTGTATATTCCGAGCAAAACAGCATTCTAGGATCTCGATTTCAAATCAAAAGTTGCTGAATCATGTTTTGAATTGGGCCTGAATTCAGCGTTTGAGACACGTACGTTCTCATTCAGCCGATTGCAGCTACGTGATGTGGTGCACCGATCCGACTAATTATAGCAACCGTGCACACGTGTGCATCGTGTCAATGCCTTGCTTGCACTTTGCGGAATAAAAAAAAAGAACTACTAAGGCCAAAAAAAAAATAAGTCGGTCTCTGGTCAGCGCGCGCGTCGATTTTAATCATGCGCGTCGATCTTTTTTTTTCTCCAAAATGTTCCGCGGTAGCTCCAACAGCGCCCTCTATTTCCGCACCTCCTCAAGTTTTTTTAACCAAAGAGCACCAAGGAATGGGAAATTGCACCAAGGCAAATGATCGAAAGCACCAAGGCAAATTATGGAGGACACCAATGTACATGAGGACACCAAAAAAGCAAAATAATACCTACCTTGTCTGTACAATCCAAGCTTGAAGAAAAACAAAAAAAAGCAAAAAAAAAAAAAAGCCGCGTGGCCGCGTCAATTCCGGAACTTTGGTCTGACCAGAGACCGAATATTTTTTTTTTTTGGCCTAACGGAAATTTCCTACGATGCGTCTTGAGACACATCGTTGGAATGGCCTTCTTTTGTTGATTTCTTCAAAATGACAGCTTGCCAGAAAGAATCATTTCACAGGGAGTTTAGTCCCCTTACTATCTTTCAACCAGTATGCTTTTCAACAATAATTACATGTACGACGGTTACTTTTTGGATAGCTGCAAATGATGGACTGTAGCTTTAAATGGCAACAGCAACCAATACTCACAGTAAATAAATGTGTTGGCATAGTGATGACACACACGGCTAGTGAGTTTCGGATCAAGGCGCGTAGCGCATGTAGGAACTGACATAACTCCGCCCCCTGATGTCTATCATGCTGTGTTGTGGATAGCTCCTCCCCCCAAAGGGGTGAACCCAAAGAGTGCACGGCTAGTCTTAAGATGTTTCTATTACTGGACTAAAAAAAAATAATGACAAAAATTAGAGGTCACTTTTTGCGGTTCTTCTCTACTTATGGCCACCAAGGATTCCTACAATATTTGAAAATCCAAGGGGATCCAAAATATGCCCACAAAACCTTTGCCTCAAACCTTGATGGCAAAACCCCTACCAGCCATTACAGTTAGATAAATACTACAGGGTGAGTAACAAAAAAAAACGAAACCCAAATGGTAGGACCAATACTTGAATGACGTTTTGCCTGTAGCACTTTCAAAATCTAGAACATGAAAGCCAAATTGATAATCTTTCGTTTAGTACAAGAATCATTCAAATCATTCACGTTCTTTTCAAGTTACAGAATTTTGAACACTAACGCCGTTTTCAAGTTCTGTCCACAGATCACAAAAAAGGTAAGTGTTCCTTCAGCAAAACGAAAACAATTCACATAGGGATATGTGAATTGTTTTCGTTTTGCTGAAAGAACGCATAATTGTTTTGTGATGCGTGGACAGAACTTGGTGTTGGTGTTCAAAATTCCACAACAACATGGTAGTTTTGGTCAGTATATTTATTTCAACCCACCTGTTTTTGTAATAAACTAAAGCCTCCATCCAAAATCTGCTTTTCCATCTGCTGAAATAACCGCCGGTATGGTGGAGAAGAAACACTGGAAAAGAAAATCCAAACGATAACAAAAATAACTTAACAAAGTTATCAATTTTGACAAATTGTTTTTATTGAAAGGCAACAGAACTATTGCCTTGTTTACATTGTCAAAAAAGTTACTAGATGTATGGCCACATTTTGGGACCACTTAAAGGGAGTATTGCAAGCGATTACTCATCTATGAACGAGTACAAACCAACTAAGCTAGTTTCCTGACCTTACAATTCCCTGACATCTATAAATTGCTATATTTCAATTTAAGTGGGGTCAGGAACCAGACTACAGGAACATGATCGTTTTTCTTGGTTTTTCCAGCATCTACGGCCACAAAACTTTAAACAAGTCAGTCTAACAATATTTGCTGTAAAATACGCACCTCCCCCCTCAAATCCATCCATTTCTGAAATTTACAGCAACGGCAAATGTTGTATATTACCTTTAGCGGGGTGAGGATTACACAAGTCTAATTCAGTAATTCAGTCAGTCGCCCGCAGTTCCAAAAAGCGTTCCAGAGTTGAACCAAATAGATTAGGAGCGATTCCAGGTTGACTACTCCTAGAACTATGAGGCTCCACGGGCCACTACGTGGAGCCTCATAGTTCTAGGAGTACAGGTTGACCTTATTAGAATTTTGGTTTCAGACAGGCGAACTTAACTCTTTTGCTACGGAATTTAATTTACCGATTTTTCCCCGTTTGGACGTAATAAACCGCTGGAAATTCCGCCGATGTGGACGCCGCCATCTTGCATTGTCTCTCTGTAAACAAACTGCTCACAATAACGTGCAGCAGACCCCGGCGAGACGGAGAGCCGCTGGCAGCGGCTCAAACCAGGGTCAGAGGTTATGCGATATAAATTATGTAGATAAGGCACACGTCATGGGGATACCCTGTTTATTCACAGCGACGTCACCGAGCCGCTGCCAGCGGCTTGCCGTAGCGAAAGAGTTAATACATTGGAGTATTGTGTACAAAGCAACAAACACGGGATCTTAGCAACCAACCGGCATTGTGCAGCGTCGATGCATGGGCTGCGTGCGCGTTCCTTCACTACGCAAACGCCTGGCCGTATAATACGTAATCAATGCATTGACGCTGAATGAGAGCCTACTGCGCGAGGTGCGCGCGTATCGAAGAAGACAGCTAGCGGGTACGCCATGTGCGCTCGCGTTATCTCTTGCACGTCACGCCACGTACGAAAAATTTGTATTTCAAGACTGCACCGTGCCTGTACGTGTAATACGTAATCAATGCATCGACGCTGATTGAGAGCCTACTGCGCGAGGTGCGCGCGTATCGAAGAAGACAGCTAGCGGGTACACCATGTGCGCTCGCGTTATCTCTTGCACGTCACGCCACGTACGAAAAATTTGTATTTCAAGACTGCACCGTGCCTGTACTTGTAATACGTAATCAATGCATCGACGCTGATTGAGAGCCTACTGCGCGAAGTGCGCGCGTATCGAAGAAGACAGCTAGCAGGTACGCCATGTGCACTCGCGTTATCTCTTGCACGTCACGCCACGTACGAAAAATTTGTATTTCAAGATTGCACCGTGCCTGTACGTGTAATACGTAATCAATGCATCGACGCTGAATGAGAGCCTACTGCGCGAAGTGCGCGCGTATCGAAGAAGACAGCTAGCGGGTACACCATGTGCGCTCGCGTTATCTCTTGCACATCACGCCACGTAGGAACAATTTGTATTTCAAGACTGCGCCGTGCCTGTACAACATGGATACTGGAAGTCTCGGTTTTCCGCTTAAAAAAAATGTATCTTGCGTTGTATTGGGGCGACAGTGGGACGTACATTTATTGTAAGTTTTTGCTCTGTAACACGACATCGAAATCTGCAAAAAGAAAACTTTTAAATTATAAGCACGGTAAACACATCGCGTGTAGTCCATATTTTTGAAGGTCACTACTTATTTACATACATTTGCATTGAGTTCGGCTCATGACCAGAGGGACGTCTGAAACCAAGTCGCTCCTGAGTCGTTCTAACGACTCTAACAGTCGATCTTTCGCCAACGAGCGCATCAAGTCGCTTCAAATTGTTTCAGACGTCGGACTTTTGACGCACTTAGACTTTCATTTGGTTCGGCGCGACTCTGGAACGCCTGTCTGAACCTAGTGTTTGTCAGTCAGTGAGATAGGTACATTGTACAAACAGGGCTGTAGGCTGGCCACTAGACCAGCAAAGTCAAGTTTGTGGGCCAAGGTGAGGCTTAGGCAAGTCTAATTCACAAATGGTAGTCAGACAGTCAAGGCTGGATTATGCTCAGCGTGAAAGCGAACGCGAACACGAATATGTGACGTCATGAGGAGTATTCGCACTGCAAATTCGTAACGGTTGAACATATTATAATAATAATTGGCATTTAAGAACGCTCTTATTAGTAAACTAAATCCCAGCGCTTACAGTATTATTATTACCCCTGATCATTGGGCCAATTAAACATTCCAAATACCATCTCAGCTCCCTGGGGAGTATACAGCTCGATGCTGCCTGTTAGGCGCAAGGAAGCTAATTCAATCACAATAACCATCTCTGCCCTCACAGGTACCCATTTACTCTTGGGTGGAGAGAAGCAATGAGTGACAAAGTTCCTTGGTCAAGGGCACACGCACCATGACCCCAGGCTGGACTCGAACCCACAACCCGCAGCTTTACCCACAGACCACAAATCCAATGCCCTTAACCACGAGGCCACAGCACTCCACATAAATTTGACACCACTCAACATAAATTTGACATATTTCAAAAAGATTTGAGGCTTTGCATGGTGGAGAAACTAATGAATGAAAGGTTTGCGGAAACACCATGTGCAAATGATTTCTCAACTAAGAGAATGGTTATGAAAAGACCCAGGGTTAAAACTCGACTGAAGACGGTCAGAGCATAATGACCGGAACGTCGAGTTTATACCTCTGGTTCTTTTCAGAACCATTCTCTTAGTTGAGAAATCATTCGCACATGGTGTTTCCGCAAACCTTTCATTCAACATGTTTCAACTCGGGCAAATTTCACAGCAAATATTTCATGAGGTCAAATTCGTTTCGCATTCGCATTCAGTATGAACCAGGAGCACGTTTTGGCGGCCCTTGAACTGGAACATGTTTCTGACATCACAGCCGTGACCTGAAACATGTTTCTTGTGCACCGCGAAAACGACTGACCAGAAAATTATTCATGACGTCATGTTACTGCCTACGTGACTGCACACAACCCAAAAAAATCACGCGGCGACCGGACATGATTAACAATAACATTCAAAGCAAAAGTGGGAGTTTTTTTTTATAGCGTTTCCCTAAAGTTCTAAAAAGAGTAGGCCTGATATTCTGTATCAACTTTCGTACCAATTGAAGGTAAAAACCCACTATTTAAACCCCATTTATGGTAAAAAGTAACGTCGTCTGCTAAGCTTGTATACCTTTCCGCCATCTTGAAACATAAGTGAACCGACCGGAAACTTCGGTTCAACTTTGGTCGAAACAATGACGTCATTTTAGTGTAACCGAAGCGCCAAAACGGCCGCGAACCAGAAACATGTTTACGGTCACAGCGCCAAAACGTGCCCCAGGCTTCAGTCAGTTAAAAAGTCAGTCAGTGAGATAGGCACACAGAGAGGACAGTAGGCTGGCACTCTGGGACCAGCAAAGGACGAAAGTAATGGAATAAGTATGGATATAGATAAGTGCAGAGACTGACAAACAGACAGGCCAATCTTACCAAGACTCGTCAGTCATATGAAGACAATGACAGGCCACATTGGACAATCGGTCATCAGGCATTGATTTACTGAGATCATAGAAATGGCCGAATCGATGTGTCGATGGGGTAGACTACAAGAAAAAAACACCAAACAAACCAAAAATTGTTCAATATGATACAGTTGAAAACATCACAGTTATGCAATTAATTCCTTTTAGACAGATTTGTGTTTTGTAACGGCGTTTACACCTCTATGTTCCAACACCCCTATGTTCCGACTGCACATATTCCTATTCCTAACCCTAACCCTAACCCTAACCGGGAGTAACACAATCTAGGTTGTCGGAACATAGGGGTGTCGGAACATAGAGCAGTCACCGTAACGGCAACCCTTCACCTGTAGGTACCAAACTGCAAATGCAAATTCCAGAAATCTCCTAAGCAGGTACGAAATCGTATGTCTTCTGATGAAAGCAGAACATTTTAACAACAAACTATTTTGAAGGGCCAAACCTAATTTGATTTACATCACCCCGACGCAAAATTCCATCTTAAGAATAGTTAATGCGCTACCCGCTGCTATGTACATCAGATTCGAACCAGCCAACCGATCCCGTTAGCTCGGTGGTCGAGTGGTAAGACATCTGCACTAGAAAGCAGGAGGTCGTGGGTTCGTGCCCCACCCGAACGATTTTTTTCCAACTTTCACTCGGAAGGTAACACACTGAGTATACAGTGTTTAAACGTCGGTGAAGGGCAAAAACCTAATTTGATTGATATCACCCCGACCCAAAAATTCCATCTTATAATAGTTTATGCGGTACCCGCTGCTATGTACATCAGATTCGAACCAGCCAACTGATGCCGTTAGCTCAGTGGTCGAGTGGTAAGACATCTGCCCTAGAAAGCAGGAGGTCGTGGGTTCGAGCCCCACCCGAGTGATTTTTTTCCAAGTTTCACTCGGAAGGTAACACACTGAGTATACAGTGTTTATACGTCGGTGAAGGGCAAAACCTAATTTGATTTACACCATCGCGACGCAAAATTCCATCTTATGAAAACTATTTTTTTGCAGAAATGTTTGACATCAGGAATTTCCGCATGTATAAAAGCAATTTAATTGTTTTTTGGAGTTGGAAATATGAACCCTCCTGCTGTCTAAACAGTCGCAGACAGTCAATGAATCAATCCTCTTCCCCTGCCATGCCTTTTTCACAGGCTAGTCACCAAAGCTAAGATCACATTTCCAACAAGTGCTCTGACCAGTCAAATTCAGTCAACGGACAAAAGCAGGCAAGCGTAAGGCACAGCCGGCTTATCAATCACCAACAGTCAAAGCATCGCAGCATCAAGTCACATAAACAGTCACAGCCAGTCAATCCTGCTTAATGTAGGCTGGGTGCTCTTAACTGTTAAAGGCAGTCACTTGACTGATTTTGACTGAAAGGACAACTTTGCACAGAATGTATGTTTGCATAGGAGGGTAATTAAAGGCGTTACAATTTATTGAAATATTAAAGGGAAAATACAACATTTGCAAACATCAAAAAATAAAGCTACCAAATCATTTTGAAATACCTTGCTGGATTGTTAGTGAATGACAGTGTAAAGCATCCTGTAAAATCATGGCACCTGGTATACTGTCATTTTCAAGAAAAGTGGTATTTTTGTATCAATTTCCAACGCTGGTCGGCCGACCAGCGTTGGAAAAAAAACTGGCTTTTTTTCAAATACTGGCCCCAATTGACCATCGCACTTGTTTGCAATCGCTTACACACCTATGAACGGGTACAAGCCAGCTAGACTGGTTCCCTGACCTTACAATTCCCCAATGTATGTTAATTAACTGCTCTGTTTCTCCTTATATGGAGTCAGGGAACCAGACTACAGGAAAATGATTGTTTTTCTTGGTTTTTATAGCATTTTCGAACCCAAAACCTCAAAAAAAGTCAGTGTAACTATATTTGCTATATATTTCCAGCCCCCCAATTCCATCCATTTCTGAAAATTACAGCAAAAGCAAATGATGTATATTCCCTTTAAGCATGGCAGGCAACTCTTTAAGCTTGGCGGCAGCTTTTGAAGCTTGGCGGGTGCCTCAGAAGGTTTGGCAGGTGCCTCAGAAAGCTTGGCGGGGCACCAGGTTATTTTTACAGTCTGGAGAACACTGCCTGTATTAGCAGTACCAGCGCTGACTCACCTGGTGTTTGGGCAGATGCTCATATCGCCAGGCTATCTTCATCCTATCCTCAGCGCTCATAGCGCCCTCATTGCTCTTGATTGCCTCAGCCGACTTTTTGACTGGGTCATCCTCAACTGGACATGGAAGATTCTGAAATGACAAACAAACTAGCTTTTATTTTTAAAGCCAGAGTCCATCATTTGCAGCTATCCAAAAAGTAGCTGCCGTAATTAACCCTTACTCTCTGAGGGTAGTTTACTGCATGTCAGTTGGTTATGCCAATGCCCTCCAGCTGCAGTTTATTGGCAGATAGTTTGTCTTAACAGTGAAGGCTCCAATTGGCAGGAGTTGGAGGCCCTGGAGGGTGCCTGATACTGACCAGCTGGGGGCACTCACTTTGTTATCAGAGGACTCTCATTGTTCTCTGTGGCATGTATTGGAGTGCCTGTCCAGTTACCCTTGAAATGACATGGCAGATATTGGAGGGCCATGCAAAAAACATAGGAGATTTTCTTGAGGCACATATTGGCATGCGTTGGAGGGTCTAGTAGGGTAAGGGTTAAACTCCCTGTGAAATTATTCTTTCTGGCAAGCTGTCATTTTCAAGAAATCAACAAAAGAAGGCCTTTAACAGTGCTTCTTAAGAAGCACCATATGAAATTCAAATTGGTAGTTTGTTTTGTTATTCGGCGAAGTGCGCGCAAGCGTTGACACGACACACACGCGCATGCGGTTGCTATAATTCGTTGGATCAGTGCGCGATATCGCGTAGCTGCAATATTGGCTCAGTGAGAACGTGTCTCGGACGATGAATTCAGGCCCGATTCAAAACATGATTCAGGCAACTTTTGATTTGAAAATCTGAGCTAAATCTGAGCTGAAACTTCATCAGGTTAGTTGTTCAGCACCCTTCTTTAGATCTTGAGCACTCTTGTTGCTTCAAATGAACAAAATGCACAAATCACAAATGCTGGACTTTACTGTTGACAATGATCAGAGCACATTACTGGACCAAGCCCAGTCTAATGTGGCTTTCTTAGCTGTAGGTAGCTTTCCAGCACTTAACTGGCTCATCACTCGTCACTCAAATTCTGATGGGAGGCAGGCTGGCTCTAGACAACAGACGCACATACACTGGGGATAGCCTGACTGTTTATCAAGGACAAACCACTGCACTCCCACCTGTTTTATTAGTATGTGCGAACATATTTATGGTCGTCAACTGGTTAAATAGCCATTATCTTAATAGGGGGCTCATGAATACGAACCCGGGCATCCCGGGTTCACGAAAGCCACATTAGACTGGGCTTGGTCCAGTAATGAGTTTACTTCATTACCGTTGAGTGCCATGGCCTCGTGGCCTGTAGTCTAGGGGCTAGACGTTGTTATGGTTTGATACGCAATAACCAGCCACTGTGATAACCCGGCACCGCGATAACCCGCCAGCGCGAGAGGGCGCTATCACGACCAATCAATATCACCCATGAACCTGTCAGACTGTCAGAAACAACGTTTACGGAAATAGCGGTTGTGTAATGCGCGCTCACCTGTTTGGCCTAATATATGCAGCGCGCATTCAAAACACTTCATCGTAGTTCCGAACCAACTCTTACATTTCTTCCAGTGGTACAAAAAAATGCAGCAAGCCTTTTGTGCAATTTCGCTGGTCAGCTCGTTTGTGGTGTGTCGTGTGTGTGGGACTGAAAATGGACCGTAATTGCCTGCAGATGAAGCGCATGCGCACTGGTTTCCCCCATTTTTCGGGAGGAGATTTTACGAATTTCCCTAGACGTTGTTCCTGACCGGTTTGTGGGTGATATTGGTTGGTCGTGATAGTATGCAAATGCTTGTTAAGGTCAATAGACCATTATCATGTGGCGGCCATCTTGATTCTTTCCCATTCAAATCAACGTAACCAAAGCGAGGCTGGAAGGAAAAAAATAGTCTGGTTCCTTTTTGCACAAAAAATAGTGTTATTCAGTACTGTTATTGGATACAGGGAACATGACTGAAATGGTGGCAGCATGATAAAGGTTAGCCCGACTGCGTCTGGCCGTACAGTACTATCGCAAGCTCTGTAGTAAGGCCAGACGCCCGATGCTTCCACAGAGACTGAATTTTTTTGGCCGCTGATGTAGCGATGTTGCTCCATCTTTCGATCGAGATTATCTTTTCATCCAGGACACAAATTTCCAAAGTTAAGGTTCCTAGTCGTAGAGCAACTCATACCTTTTCGAAAAAACGTTCTTTGGTCTCAATATTTTCATCCATCTGGCCAAAAGACGACTTTCAGTCCTCATCTTCCACAAATATCGTCCCGAAAATGCTCTCCATGCAATTTCAAAATGGCGGCCGAGCTGTAATGTATGCATTATGCGAGCGCGCTTGGGCAAGATAATGAATATGCATCATAGTTTATGACATTTGTCGGACACTGGCTGAAAAGATGGATGAAAAGATAATCTCGATCGAAAGATGTAGCAAAATCGCTACATCAGCGGCCAAAAAAATTCAGTCTCTGTGGAAGCATTGGGCGTCTGGCCGTACTACAGAGCTTGCGATAGTACTGTACGGCCAGACGCAGTCGGGCTAGATAAAGGTCTCTACAGTGTTAATCTAGCTCTTGTAGAGTTCCATGTACCGGTACACATACCTTTAATATTGTCTGTGGTTTATCGTCGGCGCTTGCTACAAACAAACTGTGGCCAGTCATGACGCCTTCAGCTAAGAAGTATCTCAACAGCAGCTGAGCATAACTGCCATACGTGTCCTCCTCTTCAAAGGAAAAGAAATGAAGAAGTTGAAACATCAAATACAGTAAACTCCGGCTAAACCGGCACTCTCGGGACCCGAGAATTTGTGATGACTTACGCAAATGCCGATATATGCTATAAGTCGTCATTTTGGGGACTTACATGAATGGTCTTTTGCGCACATGATTCATTGCACTAATTGGCTTCGATTTACCCTGGATTATCTCCTTAATGCTTGAGTTGAATCCAGCAAAATTAATCCTCGAACTGTATCATCACGTTGGGGTACTGATAGTGGAGACCACGATACACATGTACGTGCACAGTAACAAATTAAATGAGTGCGTGGTCCGGTGTATAGGCCTACCACCCACGCATTGACTGCAGCAGTAGTCATTCAATAACACGGCCCCCAAAATGGTCAGAGCGCATGCGTACAGCCTAGAGGGGTGCTGGTATTGATATGCTCACGATGCATATATATGCGATATATGCAGTAGGACACCCTTTTTCGACACAGATGCATGCAGCGATCACGAGCTGTGCAAAACCACTTTTCACTCGACACTTTACCAACCGCAGTGCAGGAAGTCGATGCCAATGCCTGATTTGTTAATTAATTAATTAATGCCGACTTACACAAGGATTTTGTAATGCTTTTTATGGAAAGGGGACCGAGAGTAACACGACAACTTGAGCGAAATGGCGACTTATAAAAGCCGACCTTAGAAACAAAAAAATCAATGGAAATGCAATACGGACAATCGGGACTTTAGTCAGACGGCCGACTTGAGCGATTTGACGAGTTGTACGGTGTCGGTTTAGCCGGAGTTTACTGTAAAAAAACAAAATGCTTTCATGACTGAGTATGTTCATTTTGTCCATGATATGGGTTGGTTGTAAAAATGCATTAATCTAATTACTGGCAAATTAATCAATTTTATCAGCACTGCAGGCTTTCAAGCAGTCCCAGGTGAAAATGGAGAACAGTAGGATAAAAAAACCAAAAAACAAAACCACTGGAAAAAAGTAGGCCTTTGGAGGACAAAATCAGGATAAAAGTAGGTCTTTTGCGGACTTTCAGGAGTAGTGTTCGTTGATGCTCGCCCATGTCCACAGCATCATAAGCCTCTTTTGGCATGTTTTTTACTCACAAAACTTGTCCTCCATCAACTAAACTTCGGAAGTACAGTTGCAGTGCTCCTGCGCCCAAGCCCTTCATTGTGTGATTTACACATGACAGTGTGTAACACATTTATGACAAATATTCAATGAGATTTCATTTTTTCGGAGTTGTGGGACAAAATAGTAGGAAAATGTAGGAATTTCAAGGAAAAAGTAGGAAACGTAGGAACAAGGTAAAAACAAAATCTGGTTCGTTAGTGTGACGTCATTGGGCGCTTGTATTCAGTGGTGCATGCGTGTGTACGACGAAGTCACTAATGAACCGGATAGGGAAATAATATAATAATAATAATAATTTGGGAGGCTAATCATCCTTACTCGCAGCTGGTATGCTGAATTGCGAAGGACGCGGCTACAATGTGGTCGGGCCGCTGGCACGTAAATTAAGGCACCTATGGCTGCCGGCCACATCGACCCATACAATGTATATGACCACGGAGCACAGCCTGAGATCGAAAGTGTTTGATTTTTCAAATATGGGAATACTTGAAAGCCTGAGGAAATGTTTCACTGGACCACCAATGTAAAATGTACTTCGCTGAAAAATTATAATCTTATTTTTCATTTGTAACAATTGATGTTCTGAAGCACAATTGATGTGCTGAAACAAAGACATGGCTGATAGAGGGCGCTATACCTTACCAATAAGCAGAACTGTTCCAACAGCAAGACCTCCTCCTACACATAAACAATACAGGAAACAAAAAAACGCAAAAACAATTTTATTAACCCTCTTATGCAAACATAGGCCTATATTCTGTGCCAAGTAGGCCTACATGTAGTCCTTTCAGTCAAAATCAGTCACTTAGTGACTGTTTTCAACAGTTAAGAACTTCCAGCCTACACAAAGCGGGATTGACTGGCAGTGACTGTTTATATGTAACTTGAAACAGCTATGCTTTGGCTGGGGGCGATTGATAAGCCAGCTGTGCCCACAACTGTGCCCACAGCTTTTTCGTCTGGTGCGTTGTCGTGGAAAGCATTCTTGTTGTCTTGCTTTCCGCGACAATGCACCAGACGAAAACTGAACCCACTTGCGACGCCTGAAAGCAGTGTGGTACCCACATACATCGCGCGCGCAGATTTTTTTTCGATGTCATCACGTGATGCATGCATTTACATAATTAACAAAACAAAATGGACGACAGCTGTTGGAACTGGCGTTTTTTTACGGACAATCCACCGAAATCGTCAAGATTTTTCACAATTGTTTGTGTGTGGTCTGTTTCAAGTCGATCATTAGCTTCGTGAATGACTGCTGAATATATAAAAATTATGAGGTATGTAAATGAAATCTGGGATGGGACATTAGAGGTGAAAATGGACTAGGTTATGTCTCCAGCGCTTCATGTGAATGAATATGAGCATGTCAGCTGGAGTTACTCAAGCTAATGACATGCCAGCTCAGAGTCTAGAGAGAGAGAGAGAGCAATATTCTGGTAATCCTTACTTTTAGGACACCTCTATTTTGTACGAGTTCTGTTCAAATCTGACTTTTGCAGATGACTGTCCAGTACCAAAGTGACTTTTGCAGGCTAGAGCAGTCTTTTTACTTCAGATAAACTTATGTTAGGCCAAAAAAAAAAATATTCGGTCTCTGGTCAGACCAAAGTTCCGGAATTGACGCGACCACCCGGCTTTTTTTTTTTTTTTTTGCTGTTTTTTTTTTCTTCAAGCTTGAAATGTACGTACAAGGTGGGTACTATTTTGCTTTTTTGGTGTCCTCATGTACATTGGTGCCCTCCATAATTAACCTTGATGCTTTCGATCATTTGCCTTGGTGCAATTTCCCATTCCTTGGTGCTCTTTGGTAAAAAAAAATTGAGGAGGTGCGGAAATAGAGGGCGCTGTTGGAGCTACCTCGGAACATTTTGGAAAAAAAAAAGATCGACGCGCATGACTAAAATCGAAGCGCGCACTGACCAGAGACCGACTTATTTTTTTTTGGCCTTAGTTGTAATTTTGAAAGCACTTTCGAAGAAAATGTGACTTTCCTAACCTTTTTTTGCAGTTCGCCATCTTGCTTTTTTAATGTATTTTCTGTTTGTCTTTGCCGTCTTTTACCCTCATATTGACTCATAAATCAAAGCCCTGTCCTCTTTCTACAAAATTAAACCTGCTGATGTTCAAGAGGTGTCAATGCCAAATGTTCAAATGTGCCAAGAAATATCAGAATGTCACTTTTGAGGGTCATTTAGTCAGCTGTTTTGGCGAGTCTTTTAACCTTATAATAGTAATACAATACTCAATAGACATGATCATGATGATCGAAAGGGGTCCTAAAATGGTAAGGATTAATTACCAATATTTTTACACAAATTGTTTAACGATGCGACTTACCCACAAGAAAATCTAGGGACGGCACCCCGGTTGAAACGAGTAGCTGTCCATTCTGCAATGAAGGGCGGGCCCCTGGTATTTGCGCTACTTTCCCCCTTGTTTTCTTCTGGAAACTTGTACTCGTTGTCGTATTCATGGGCGCCGCCATCTTTAGCATAAGTCACTTGACACTAGGTGGCGCTGTTCACATGTAAGTTCGTGCATGCGGTTCATGGAGGCACCCCTGCATTAGAACTCCGGCAGTGCTAAATGCCCATATTTCAAAAATTCTTTAAAAATACTCAAAACCCCCACAGGTATTTAAGCTGCACAAAAAACTGATGATCAACATGTCATCTTGCATATTCTTTTCAGTTTTTGGTGGGTTGACCATTGACTTTTCGAGAAATGTTCTCCCAAAGAAGACCCCTATTTTTCCAAACCGGAAAAGTAGCCATCTTGAAAAACGATCCCTCCACTATTTTGCCATGATGATATTTTGATACAATAATCTACACTCGTAGTCTGGGCAAATGACCACAGAGATACTAGTTGTAATAAGTTGCAATTTCGTCCACTGATCGGTCTTGGTGGTACATTAGGAAATCAATTTCGTGAGAAACCGTCAAACATTTAAAACAAAATGACCCTAAAAATAAATTTATTGGATTGGAAGTTCTTTGTTTCACTATTATTTTTTTTTGCAAGGGCATTTTACCCGCATATTTTTGTCATCTAACAATTTCAGTCGAAAAGGGGCGCGCTAAACAAAATAGTGGTATTGCACTACCATGACAAAAACGTGACTTTAGTATTGGATGATTTTTCCTTTCTGTTTAAAAACCGTTTTCTGCGTGACCTTTTCAGTTATGGTCGTCATGTTGAAAGTATAATGAAGAGTGTTTGGGCGACTTCGTCAACAATAATTGGCAAGGGGGGGGGGGGGGTTCAAAAAGAGATGGTTGGGGAGGGGGGGGGGGGGGTAATCTTCCCAATCCCCAGAATTAATAACATCACATTACACAATATCAAGTAGCCTATCACAATAAAAATATCACAATGAAAACACCATCTTTGTGATTTTTTTTTAATCTTGCATGCAGTGCCAATTTTTAACATATTTTTTTTTTTACAGTAATCTATACTTTATCCGATTTCGCATAAGTGGCAGCCATTACACATGGTGGCGCATAGCCTAACTGTTTATTTCTAGGTTTTCCCGGCTACTTTCAACATTTTTCATTCAAAATCGTAAACGGATTTTTTTTTTACTGCAGTCCTTAACAATATGCACCACTGTGTCAATTGTTCTGATAGCTTTTTTTGGTTGATGCCAAATCATTTATCTTACATTTGTTTACCCGGGGATACCCGAACAGTTTTTTTTTTCCATTGCCTGCATACACTTCTAATGAATAGGCCTTCATACAGTTATACAAATATAGCATAAGGCATTAATGCATAATGGTTACACAACTATTATAACTATTGTTAAACTATTACAGCTATTAAACAGCATCGCCAAACAAGCATTATGCAAGTGAGCTAAGTGATCACAAAGAATGTGTATATTTTGTGCAATTAAATGTTTAATGCTGATGACGGGAGGGGCGAAAACCCCGTGAAAAACCCCGGTTGGAAGAAAACACGGGAACTTCACATTCAGATCCTAGTGGCAACAAAGTTCATCAACTCCGTGGATCACCACAAATTTAGATAAAACTAGACGTGTGTTTGTAGGTGACAAACACATGGCTGTTTCGGCCGGTTTTTTTTATTCATGTTTATTTCGCAAAATTACTGCATTGTTTCGCCAGACTATTGCGTTATTTCACAAAACTATTGCCGTAGTTTTAGTTTCGCTTTTTCCCTGGCACGAACCGGCTTCCGTATTTATAAATTAATAATTATCGAGAATTGAAAATATTGCTGTCGCTATCTTTGAAGTACAAGCAGTCTTGACGAGAATGTTGCACTGTTTGACACTGACCGAAATAGTGCAGCGTGATTTTCGCGTGGGACGGCCCGGGCTTGTAGTACAATCCCCGGTCAACGTGACTGTCCGTTGCACGGTGAAATCATTTGTGCTGGCGCCGATACCCCTGAAGCACACAGTTATTTCTTGGCACTCGTGCGGAATGAGCCCTGCTGATTTCTTTAGGCCTCGTGCCCACGGGACGAAAGCACTTTTTTAAAGGGCCCATGAGGTGAATATTTCATAGGAACTTATTTTTTTGCTACTTTCTAATCCTCTTAAGTGTATAAAAACTAAATGACATCCCCTTTTGGTTAATTCTACTGAAAAGTGCACTTCTTTAAACATTTACAATTTGTCCATGCTTTTCCTGACATGAGGGCGCTTTCTGATGACATTTCAGTAAGACACTGTTCATATTTGTCCGAGTGCGAACCCAAAAATTTGCTCATGGAAAACATTTGTGAGAAAAGTTTGAAGTTGGCTGATACTGGTGTGATACACAACAGCGAATCACTAAATAAAACAAAGTTTACTGGACATCAAAATGTCCAAAATTCTGGCAACACCGTCTGCAAAATTTAATGGAGCCCGACTAAATTTAGTGCAAGAGCCCAGAGAGGCCACATAAAGCTAATACTGGATCGCAACCCCATCTAAACACACGTTAAAATTGTGCAGCAGCAGGATTCCAGTCAAACCAGTGAGTTTGGCGGTTTTGAGACATCATCTTACATTGAAAAAAAAAAATACTTTTTAATTTTGCCGACGCGCATGGCTACGGCGATGCGCGCGCAGACCAGAAACCGGAGACTTTTTTGGCCTTTAGTGTTATTTCTCTTCAAGCAACGAAGTATACTGATTGTACATGTAACTTTTATAATGTACTATCTGATACTACTTCTTTAAACCATCTGTTGGAATATGCAACGTGCCTTGCATCCATGCATGACTCAACAATTTGCATTCAACATTGATCACAGTGTAGCCAACCAGAACCTTTCAACTGCCAAAAGAGCATAATGGATGGAATTGGGAGGGGGAGGGGGAGGGGGAGGGGGAGGGGGAGGGGGAGGGGGGGGGCAACGGGGGCAATGCCATAAAAGAGGGGTGATGAGGACCCCTTTTTGTTTTGAATTTTCAGAATAAAAAAAAAATAAAACGTTGCCGTGTGTCAGCTACACCTACCTTTAAGTTTTAATAATACTTTGTGAAAATAGCACATGATACTCAGGTTTTCCCGGCTATTTTAAGAGATTTTTTTCACTCAAATTCACCAACTCTATCATTTAATTTCGTCCACAACAAATTTCACACGCTTTTAACCAAACAAATTTAGTCATTAACCATTTCAATTTCAAAAGTTTGGTCGTCCTCTTTAGTCACCGGGTCGAGAATATTCGTCATTACAGATCAAATTCGTCTAAGCTGTTGTAGAATGGCAGCATTCACAGATCAAATTCGTCTCATATAAATCAATTAGACGACTTTGATTTCTGAATAACACGATTCGGCGTGGACGAGACGAAATGGAATACACCGGGTCGAAAACGTGTACTCATTGTTCTAATTTGCTTGGACTAATTTGAATTTGTCTGACAATAGACGAAATTAAACATTGTCCAATTCACCGATACTTATATTCAAATTTGTCAAGGAATATAGATTTAGTGCACTTTCAATGTTTAAAATTACGGTTTTTCCAGACAGTTTCAAATTTAGCTAAGCTAGCGTTAACGATATCTGTTGCTAGGGGATATCGTTAACGATAATGTGATGCTTTGGGCATATTAAAGGGACATTACGTCCTGGAATATCCCCAATTGGGCTACAATTATTGTCGTTGCGTCGTAGTGACAAAAGGCATTAAAATAAGCGGAACTTGAAAATTGAACCTTTGGAAACAAATTGCACTTTTATAGTTCCGTAGATATAGGCCTTTTATAACGCACCTTTTATGTGACATCACACATGTGGTTACATCTTATGACGTCACTCAAACTTTCATCTACAACACATCCCGTTCTAGGTACATTCCAAGTTACAATCAAATCAACTACTAGTTCTTAAAATATAGGCCTTAAAATGCATCTTTAATGTGACATCACATGAGATGAGATGACGTCATCATAACGTCACTTCATTTTTCGTCTATAACACATCCTGGTCCAGGTTCATACCAAGTTAACTCGGACTGGAGGTTATAGAGATATAGGCTTTCGAAAAAAAAATCACCTTTAATGTAACGTGACATGACAGTTACTGTAGTCTACAGTTGGCAAAACTAAGCTTACAAAAAGTATATGCAAGCTACTTTGGGGAACATAATCGCAAATGATGTATAACAGACCCAATTTAGACGAAACTGTTTTCCTTACGTTTTCAACGCGTGTGGGCCCTAACTGGCCGTTTTGACAATAACATTAACTCCCAAGCATTTACAAGATCTCGCTTTCATACAAAGACCGTCAGCAATGTACACGTTTAGATAAGATTTTCCACCTTGAACCAATAAACATACATTAAGGTTTTTATTAAGGTAATACATATGTAGTTTGCCGTTAATAAACACTGTGTTTAAGACAAGGGTTGGAGTCTCAGGATTCTGATAATTACCCAAGCCGAAGGCGAGGGTGAGTATCAGCGTCCAGACTCCAACCCATTCATAAATACCTTTTTGGTATAAAAAAAAACCCCGTAGAATTGACAAAACGTTCCAAAAATAGAAACATTGACAACTTTCTGCAATCAAATGATTTAAATCAAACAATCCTGACCCCCAATTACTTTAAGGTAGAGTAGAGCATTTGTCATGTGTGCATTTTTTGTTTGGTTTGAAGCAACAAAAGTACTCAGGTCTAAAGACAGGTGTATTAACAACTAACCTGATGAAGCATTAGCTCTGTGAAAGCTGCACATATTGAGAAAACTCAATATTCCCGACTTCAATTCAAAACTTGCTGAGTCATGACACAATCCCGAAATCGGCATTCGGGACATGATTCTCATTCAGGCGATTGTTACTTCGTGATGTCACTCACAGAACCGCCATTTCTTGCTAATAATAGCGCGTGTGCGTCGTGTCAATGCTCTCGCGCCCATTCATGGATTCCGCCCAATTACAAACCAAATGCAAACGGAAATTTCCAGGAATGTGTCACTTCACATATCTTTGGGAATGACTTTTATTTTATTGTTTTCTTAAAAATGACAACGTATCCGAAGGAATAATTTTGCGGGGGGTTAAGTGTCATTATTATCTTTAAACTAAGTAAACCTTTTATAACAATAATACATTGGTCGGTCACATTTTGGATAGACGCAATTGGTATATATACTAACTTTTAAAATCGCTGCCGTAACTTTCGCACAATCGCGTTGCAATCCTCACGAAAGCGCTTATTTGCCAAACCATAGACAAACACGTTAATGACGCTGTTGAGATACACGACGTCACGGAAAAAAAGCATCGCAGCTATAACGTTTGCGTGGTGGGAGGACTTGAAGAAGTCTACGTACAGGCTCCCTAACGCGTAGATCTTGATGATTAAGATAGGCAGCCAAAGGATGAAGAGCATGAAGGTAGTTATGAGAAGCATCCTGGTAATACGAGACTGGTCTCTGTTGGGACGTTGTGCTCTACCCTGTGCGGTGGGGTGGTGGATACCAGCTCCTGGTCTGCTGAACCTCCTAGCTTCTTGATGATTCGCGCGTGAGCTACTCGCCAATGGCTGCGTATTGGTGCCTACCTGGATGACACCAACTCGGCTGGTATTTGTTGATAGGTAACCCAAAGCACCTCTGGCGCCATTCTTGACTCCTTCAGATCCGCTAGCGTCGGTAGAATCAGAGTGACCTTCATGAAAGGTACCGAGGGGAGCTGAGGTTGATGGAGCAACCTCGCGTTGCATGCGATCACTGATGGCGCGAACACGGCGACGATGTTGAGTAAGTTCTGGTGCTACGGTCTTTTCGCGTTTGTGGAGGAAGATAAAAATGGCCGAGTACAGGATGGTTACCGCAGTGAGTGACAGAATGTACATACAAATCGGGAGGAACTTCAAGAGTGCGAGATGAAACCTTTCAATTTTGTGGTGATGCAGGGCTAAGCCTTGCTGCACTTTGTAAGCAGCTTCGGGTATGACTCCGATATACCCAGCCACGAAGCAGGCAGCGGCGATGAACTTAGCTCGTTTGATTGTCACAAGGCGATTGAGGGAGCGACAGACAGTATCAAAGCGGTCAAAAGCCATAGCTGTACTCAGTAAGGCCGTCGTGTAGAGCAAGCCTATACTGAGGAAATAAACGACACTTTCCGAGTCGTAGTCGAGGTATTGAGACACAGAGGCTATGGCTATCGCGTCTACAAGCCGAAGCAGACAGATGAGTAGATCGGCCGTAGCCAGTGCTGCGATGAAGATCTGTGTGGTTGTACGGATCCTTCTAGAGCAGCATACACCTAGGATCATAAGGTTAGCGGGCACACCCAGGCAGAAAGTGGTCAGCCATAATGTAAACCCTGCCCATCGTGTTACCTCCAACTTACTAATGAACGGCCAGGTCACAGACGACCCATTAGTATCTGCCATTGACACTGTCTTGCTAAAAGTTGCTAAAGGTAAGTCTTCGATCTGGTTTACACGTGGCGCTTCTTCAACGAGTGTATGTCGTTAGCTTGGTCAACAGCTACATATACCTCTTCTCTTCAATGTAAGAGCAAAAAAAAAAAATGTCTACATCACTCTCTTCCGAGTGAACACTGATATACTGATCGTTCTTTGACAGGTAAAAAGCAAAATGTTTTCCGACTTTAGACTTTTGTTTAAGGGTGCGTTCGAGCGTGCTACTCGTGTTAACACGAGTATACTCCTGAGCGCACAAACGGCAGAAGTACGATCCGGGGGTTAGCAAGAGTATGCTCTCCGTCATACCGGAAGTATACACCTGCACCGAGAGTAATGCGGCACGCAACAATTTCCTGCACTCGGGAGTAGCAAGAATAACACGCTGAACGCACCCTAAATGTGTCGTAGAGCAAAGGTGTAGTCTAGCGATCAACAACCGTCGGTGCACAAAGTTGGTTAGAACGTGCGCGTGACCGTTTCTTCCAGACTGCGCATGTCCATACGCCCTACCTGTTTCGTCGTTACTGCCTGTTTTTTTTCTGGAGCTCATTTACCTGAGGTAGGACTCCACGGACGTAAATGTACTGCAGATTTGCATGATGTATTTAATATAATGTAAATCTGGACAATTGTCTCGTTTCTAGCGGCGAAATAGGCAGCGTGATTCATCAATGTACACGTATAGAGTCAATCCCCGAGTTGTTACTTGCAGTAGCAACAGTCAACATTCTTACAAAATAATAAATTGTGTCTTAGTTTCTATTGAAAACAAAACAAAACAACTAAATGCCTTTTACGTTAACAGATTTACTTATAAGAAAAAGGAGAAAAGTGCAACATATGGCAACTATCCGACTGATAAAGAGATCATTGCGGCCTTAAAATTAAATTGGGATTGATTGTTGGAGTATTAATATAGATCAAGTAATTGTGGCTTGTGGCTTCAAACTCGGGCGATTTTGTTCGAACCCCCCCTCCCACCATACCTTGTGGAGTTATTTCGCATGGAGACGGGAAGGGGGGGGGGGGTGGGCTGGTACACTTAGACCCGGGTCCACTGATTGGCAAAGCTTTCGAAAGTGGTTTTGGGAGAGGGGAATATTAAAACAACGACACGGGTATCTTTGGGTAAAATTGAAAAGATAATTGTCCTGGAGGTCGTTATCTTCAATATTCAGTGAAAACCCAAAACAAAATATTACCACCTTGTTCCTGAGCGTCGCAAGGCGGCGCTCTGTGTATTCGATTCTGCGCTGTTTCGTATCAGCACAGCAAGGGACCACATTGAACAAAATGATCAATACACTCGTTGTTTTGGCAATAACTAAAAAAAACCCAAGTGTATTAAATGATCTTCGTCCAGTGTTTTGTCAGAAATGTGAAACGTGAGGAGATTCAATTCCATGAGAAACCATCTCAAAAAATCAAACAATACAAATAATATGCATGACTGAAACATTATATTGTTTTACGTTTTAATAGTCACTGTTCATGGAACAAAAGCAACACATTCCTTTTGCAAAGAAGAAACACCTGTTTCACTTAGTTAGAAGTTCGTTTGTTTCAGTTTTTTGCAAGGGAATTTTATCCGCACACTTTTGTGACCTAAACTTTCTGTCCAAAAGGGCGCCGGCTTTAGTGGTCGCAAGAAGACAAGCGCGCCTATAATGGTCTACTTTAAAAGAAACTCAATAGAGGGCGCACCACATAGATAGTGGTTACCGCTACTAACGTAGCATCAACACAGACGCTTCACTTTTGAAAACCAAAAAGAAATAACTCTAGTAATACGACATGCGCATTACATTGAAATTGCCTCCAGTGATTTGTCACGATGTGTAATATTATGCATAATGATTGATGTCAACTGTCGCGCTACTAGATAAGCATCGCTGGCCGCACCGAAGCTCGCATCCCAGGAAGCGGTGAACGTCGTGTCGACCAGGGCCCAATTTCATAGCGCTGCTTAACAGCCGACTTTGTGCTTACCGAGCCTCCATCTATTTCATAGGGACCGTTAAGCAGTAAGCACAATAAAAGCAGGCTTAACCTCAGAAGAAAACTTTGCTTAAATCAGTGACGTAACAATATAAATCTCCATGTGCGTGCAACTGTAAGCACATTCACGGCATGAAATAGTGCTTTAGCAGCAGCATGATTTTCTGCTATAGTAAGCATAACTTTTCTGCTTACTGTTAAGCAGTGCTATGAAATTGGGCCCAGGATACGATGTATCATTCAGGTAGCCTAGGCCGCAGGGAGGGAGTTGCCTTGCTCCTTAACAACAAGGTTAGCCATTCCCTTGTTCAATGGACACCAGTCTCAAACCGGATCCTCCGCGCTTGGCTCTGCCACAGACATGGTTCTCGTTTACCATCATCGTGGTCTATGCACCGACTGAGTTAGCCTCTGTTGCCGACAAGAATGACTTTTATAACCATCTGGAACCGTTCATCCATTCTACTCCACCTCATGATGAACTCGTAGTCATAGGAGACCTGAATTCTGTCAGTGGGAAAGAGCGCATATGCTACAAAAGTGTTGTTGGGAACCTCGGCTCTGGACAACCTAAAGACAACTCGGTACTCCTCCTCAACATGTGTTCCCTTGCCAACCTGTCTATTGCTGGCTCCTTCTTCAGACGGAAGGGAATCCACCGCTGGACATGGTTATCCAATGATGGCCACACCAGGAAGGAGATCGACCACATGTTGACCAGAGATCATTTACTCTTCTGCTCTTACCGGATATTCAGGGGTGCGGAGGCCCCAGCAAACACGGATCACCAAACTAGTTGTTGGGGCAGTCAAAATTCAGGCCTACCGCAAACCGCCTAAACCAAACACAAAGCAGCTTGATATCAGATCCCTCTTGGACAACATTAGTGTTGCCACCAATTACAACATCGCTGTCAGCAACAAATTTGAAGCCCAAGGTGCCCTCGAGGAAGACCCTGGGTCTGCTCGGTCCATCATCTGTTCATCTATTCTATCCGACGCTACAGAAACTATCGGCACCTGCAGGCACCAGAGACGCCCCTGGCTGACCGCTGAAACGATGGATATCCTCGACCAGAAACGCAATGTACGTCTGCGTGGTAACACATTCGAAGCACGCAGACTAAAAGGCGTCTTCAAAGCCAAAGCCAAGGGCGACCTTAAGGAAATATATGGCAATCTCGCTGACGACGCTGAAGGAGGGTTACGTATAGAAGCAACCTGCGCCCATCCTTTCAGGTCATCAAGCGTATGCGTGACTCCCCACAACAGGGATGCAGCACCTTGCCAATAACTAAGACTGACGGCACCCCATACAAGATGATCGAGGAGACGTTGGCCCGCTGGTGAGATCACTACAACTCCATGCTCAACCACCCCCGCCATGCACTGCCCCGACCTCATCGCACAGGCTTCAGCTGCTAGCCCTGCTACAGATGTTTCCTCAGACGCTCCAACCCTGGCTGAGGTACGCCGCGCTGTTAGAAAACCCAAGAACGGACGTGCTGCAGGACCTGATGGTATTCCCCCTGAACTGCTCAAGTGTGCAGCGGCCCCAAACAGCGCGGCCCTCCGTGATCTCTTCCTCAGAGTATGGTCCTCATGTAGGGTCCCTGCCGAATGGAGGGATGGCATCATCATCTGCCTGTATAAAGGAAAGGGTCATTGAAACCAATGCAGCAGCTACAGGCCCATCAATCTGCTGTCAGTTCCCGGAATGGTTTTCAGCCATGTCCTGCTGTCTTGCTTGGAACCACTACTTACCCGTCACCGTCGCCCCCATGCCAGCAGTCCGGCTTTGCAGGGCGCCAGTCAACTATGGATGCAATGCTCGCCCTACGAATTCTGTCGGACCTACACCGTGAGGTCAAGATACCTCTCCATGTTGCCTATGTAGACATCAAGGCAGCCTTCGACTCGGTAGAATGGAAAGCTCTGTGGCGTACCCTGAAAGCTACCGGAGTCCCACCATTCCTGCTTCACCTGATCCAGGCCATGCATGAGGGTATAGTACTTCCTCTGTGCATGTCTGAGACGACATCGCAACCCCCTTTCCCACCACCCCAGGCGTCCGTCAGGGCTGCATTCTCGTCCCATCTCTATTCTGCTGTGCGATCGACTGGATATTAAACCGCTGTCAGTCAGATCTTGGAATAACAGTGGGAGATAAGTCCTTCATAGACCTGGACTATGTCGATGACGCCGCCATGTTCTAAGAAAAACCCGACCAATGGCCTGTCTCACTCTAGAGGTTTGAGGAAGAAGCCGGACGATGGGGATGCATGTATCATGGGCCAAAACAAAGCTCTAGAATTGCACCGGCTAAGCACTGCAATACAAGCACCGACACAAAACAGCCGCAGGGTGAAAAAAAATACCCCACAAACCAGGCCACCTATAATTACCCTGAGGGTTTTTCTGGGTCAGGATCAACCTCGTCCCCAGGGTGTCGAGCCGTACGTGCCCACCACTACCTGCTCTATCACCTAGGTATTCGATCATTTGCATGTGCAAGATTTTTGAACACGTATGCAAATGAGGAATAGTCTGGTGCCTGCCTGTGCGTTACATTAGCGTTTGTTTTTGTATGCGGTTTGTGGGGTAAAAACAGCATCGAATCGTCGCGCTGTGAGTTATGAAAACACGTTTTTTAAAGTTAAAATGTTACAGTCTGGCCCGCCAATATGCAGTATCACATTTCATATTAATACGAGCAAATTGGAAAGGAAAGGAGTATTTTTGAGAAGGCGTGGACGTTATAATAACAATAATTGTGAACACACGTAAATGCACATTGGAAATAACAACACCAACTTCACGATATAAATCCATTACTAGCAAATTGCAGTACCGAATCAGGATACAGAAAAAAAAACTAGTTTCCTATCCAGGGCTTACTATTGGAAACGAGGTTAAAAATAAAGTAGGTACTGGGGACGAGGATGGGTCAGGATTGACTCTAGATGTTGTTTAAATTTAATCCCAGGGCCAGACAAAGGAATATTGATAGTTATAGAGATAAGCAAAGGGGCAATACCATTTTACCATATAGAGGTATGCACTAAAGTTTTTGTGCACAAGTCAATGGCTGTTGGGGGAGACCATTATTTGTAAGGCTCGGCCCCCCGGTGAATGAACTCTAGGGTGAAAACAGTTCAGCCACTCTTTTTAGCAAGGGTCAACTGAATGATAGATGACAAAAAATCAGCTCAATTGACTGAAAGATGTTGACGTAGTTAAACAAAGTAGTAATTTCGGCCTTACGCGTGCGCCCCTTAGTTGCCGCGAGGTTATCATGCATTTTTAAAGTTATTTTCTGGAAAACGCATCTGTTGTTTTTCTTCAATTAAAGTTGACTAAAAAACAGATTGCATATTTCACGAAGACCACACTCAATTATTTATTACATTTGCTGTTTGACATTTCCTCTTGTAATTTTGTCATCACACAGCCATCACTACAAATCAACAGACGAAAGTTTCATTTAATACATCAGGTATTTTTGAGATTGTATGTCTTTCCCTTCAGTTAAAGTTGATTCGAATTCGGATTGCATATTTCGCGCCGACCACACTCAATGGTTTTGCTTGTATTCAATTTACAGATTCAAATTTCCTGTTGTCATTATACATGAATTGGATTAAGACGTCACTTCCAATCAACATATTTCAATTCCATTTTAATACAACTAGTGTTACTTGCGTCCACCCCATGGTAGATCGGGGGGGGGGGGGGAGCGGGCCGGGGCAATGCCCCCAACGATCTGTTTTATTATCAAAGTAGTGAGGACCACTTTTTGTTTGAAATTTGACAGTTGCAATACAACAATGGGAAAATAGCTCACGATACTATAAACTTAATCACCTTCATCCCCTTTTTGAATAAATGTAGTAGTATGGTCGACCCTGGGACAATCCAAGGCTGGTGGTCCATCTACGATGAGGTGGATAGGGAGCCCGAAGAAACTTGGACGCAGCACTCTTATATACAATGCTTGATTAAATTTTATTCCATCTGATGTACGTCAATGATATACAATCCCAATAAAAAAAACCCTGTTAATAAAAGATAGAATAAACAATAAGCGTCAGTTGTTTGTCAAAACTATACACTCAGTCTCACCAGTTTGTCGATTATACATTTTCCAAAAATAAACAATGTACAATACACTTTCAAATGGATGTGTGTATAACAGAGCTGTATAAATCCACCGCGCAATTTAGCTTGTTGGCTACTAGACGCGATGACATTGCCAAGTAAAACAGTGATTATACATGCAATACATGTACTCATGAATAATATAATTCCTATTTCCTCCTCAAAAAGGCTGGAAATTATGCAATATAAATCGACACCTAGAATTCACAAGCTTACCCTGATATAAGATGGGGTGGTGAATAATGGTGAATAATGTGACGAGTAGTGCTCAAGGTAGTATAGCTACAGTGTCCAATGAGGTTTAGACGGAGCCCATGACATAATATTATGAAGACACTGCTCGAAATCTATGAGTAGTCGGCAAGGTCTATAAAATGCAAGGTACATGTCAAATTCAACATGAGTGTATTTATAAAATGACACTAATAACAATGCTCTATACACAAGTTTACAGTGGAGTGTGTAAAGACCAATACAATAAAAGGGAAAAAGAGATTCACCCAATCTGTGTAATTAAGCGCCTAAAATAGTTAGTGAGCCTTGCCACACGCAGCGCAGTGCCCCAATAATACAGCGCCATCGCGCTGAAGCTAGCACGCGTTCAGTAACACACAGCGCAGTGCCCCAACAACACACGTACGTTGTACACACAACAGCAAGAAGCGACATTGTACATGTACAGTAACGACACATGGGCGCCATTGCGCAATACACTACATGCATATTATTATGACCCGCTGCGCGCCCACTGGCCAAAAGTTATAAACTTTGTTGCGAGTACAGCATCCCTAAAATCACACATATTCATGTCTATTGCCCCTATGAAAGTTATCTGCACATAATAATGCACCAGTTTAACATATTGAGACAATGAAACAATATCGAGAAGCAGTTGTAAAATGGACACATTTGAGGAGAGAAAGTCTCACCTGCGACAGCAAGAAGCACGCACGGCAAGAGGCCGCAACGACGTGCCTGGGTGAATCGGCCCGAAACGTAATTATTCCGCCATTCACAAAATATCCGTCGCCTATCGACTTTATCTCTCAGGTACTACCAATTAACACAAGTGTGTCTTTTGAATGATATAAACAAGCTTCTCGACAAAGTTTGTCCCTGGGAAGAATCCAATAATGCATTCTTAACCAATAACTTGGAACTAACTAGTGAGGCGTAGATATACGACCCCAGATAGGTGTCACAAATAACCTTGCCAGTCCCACTAATTAACCGGCTGACCTTGGGTGTGCTATTATAAAATGTCGTGCCCCTACAACTTCCCTGCTTTAACACCTTCGCCCTCGAATGGTGCCAGAATAGGAACAAGATTCATATATGTAATCAATATCCATAATTATGCTGTAATCACCATAAAATGTCAAACACTGGATAACAAGAAAACACTTTTGTAAGTCGAACAAACTGCTTACTGTACAATCTCAGCACACCAAGATATACGCAGAGTATGGTTATATCAACACCTTCTGAACTAAATCAGGTAAGCTACCTCGGGTTGGAAAAGGTATTCAAAAGGATTTAAAGGTAATCGTCAGTGCGGGTAACACCCTGTCTCTCAGAGAGAGCAAGCACGTCAAATCACAAACTAATGCAATAATGCAAATTAACTTATGCAATAAACATGTACATCAACTATGGGTAGAAAAATAGCAGTGACATGTGTTACTTACACATCTACAATTGGCAAGTCCAAGGCTAATTAGTTGATATATGGACCTGATACATAACAGGACACGAAGATAACATTTAGCTCACCCTAAAATAGAGATTGGTATATGATAAGAGTCCCATCTAACTCTTGCTATAGCTTATTACAAAGAACGAATAATCTTCCATGTGTTGTTGTTGTTTTTTTTTTTAGTGGAAACACATCTTTTTAACCTCCAAGCAAACATTTATGCTTAAATCAGTAAGGTGTCACAAAAACATTACACTACATGTAATAAACAGATTACAGTAAGGCAATGGAATATCAGTAACCATTGGTGTGAGAGGTGCCCATTTTTTTCTAGGTAGAGCAGACAACACTATTGTAAATTACTACATGAACATGAACATGAACATATGGTTAAGACTGGAACTTAACCAGAGCATCTTTGATACCCCTGCAATAGCGTCGAGTACCCTCTCGGTTGAGATGACAACCGTCAGACAAGTACTTGGGGAAATTGATACGTCTTTGGGCGTACACACATACGTTAGGGTATCCAGCTTCCAACGCCCGCGTGAGCATGGAATTAAAGCGCTTAGCTCGATGGTTAAACTGAGACAGAGACACCTGGCCTGGTCTGTTTAAAACAGATCTTTGTATAACCGAGAAAATCACAATCTGTCGAGGCCTGATTCCCTCACTAGAGAACAAATTTAAGACTCTCAAGGTCTTCTGTACCACAACACTCGGGGAATTCTCCTCACTACACAGGTCATTGGTCCCAATGTCAATACACAAGATATCAGCGGGCTCTTCCTTAAGTTTGCTTAGATACCGATCAGGATCGCTAAGCACCCTGTCATACGTCAAACCTGAATATCCAATAATACCCAAACTAATATTTTCGGGAAGACCAATATACTGTTCCACTGATCTTCTGGATCTGCATGTCTCTCTAAGCAATCTCTTGGGAAAAGAATGGCCGAACAGCAAAGCTGATGTCTTCTCAGACATCTGTGAAGAAAAGGTAAGTTTTTTTTTTATAAAGCGTACAAGTTTAAGCCACAAATATAATACAAAAATCAACCTTGACTAAAAATCAAATTTTTCAAGGACGGAATTTGTCGAAAAGGTGGACAACTTTTACGTTAAGAACAACAATACAAAACGCTGGTGTTAAATCATACAAGCGTGATTACGACGACTCGGGGTAGAGACTGTGGACTCAGAGGTGGTAAAACCATGTCTCGCACCACCAAATGAATGGGCGAGCAACCTCCTACCGCAACAACCATCAAACTTGAAATATGATTAGGTTACCGCGTTTGGCCACGGTCCAGCACCACGCTTCTTCAGACGTTCAGAACGACGGAGTGGTCTCTCAAACAGTGACGGGGTACCACTAGTGCCGCTGGAAGGAACCTTCACATCGGGGACGGGCTTCCGGACTCTGACCTTCGGTGCCTGGGAGCTTGGTGGCCCTGTGAGCACCCATTCGTCTCCAGAACTTTCTGCGCCAGAGTTGGAACCACCTGAAAGAGTACCATTAATAGCATCAGGCTGGTGACCCATTCTAGGCTCTCTGGGAAAGTCCAACTCACCCCTAGGATCGAGTATTAATCTCTTTCTATTCAGCCGTTTTTCAGGGCCTCCAACAGCTGGTCTGACCACATACAGGTCATGTTCTGGGTTTGACCTGACCACAACATGCTGCTCACTGCTGAAATTATCAGCCAACTTGTGGCGCTCGGTGAAACCGCTTTGCTTCACCAAGACCCGACTCCCTACAGGTAGTGGGCAAGCTTTTGCATGCTTGTCATATCGCCTCTTGTTAGCTTCTGCTGCTTTAATCATTCTGTGCTTGGCAATTGCGTGGGCCCTCTGGAGTAGCTTTGCTTGACGTTCGACCACATCCTCGTGGCAAGCACGGGGTAAACGACTGAGAAGGTGATCAATGGGAATCCTGGGCTCCCTGCCGAACATCAGGGTATAAGGTGTATACCCTGTCACACTATGCGGAGTGGAATTGTAGATGAAAGTGAGGTGTGGAAGGAGTTGGGGCCACCTGTTCCGGTCTTTCTGGGTCACTGACTTGATTAGCCCACAGAGTGTTCTGTTGAAGCGTTCGGTCTGTCCGTTCCCCTGCGGGTGGTAAGGGCTAGTTCTAGTTTTCTTGATGCCATATATGTCACAGAACTCACCAACCAACCGGCTCTCGAAATTCCTGCCCTGGTCAGAATGAATTTGTGCAGGAATGCCGTAGTGGACAAACCAACTTTCATGAAGAGCCCGGGCCACGCGAGGGGCTGTCTGATCTTTACATGGGATAGCCATGGCGAACTTGGTAAAACTATCCGTCATTACTAAAACATCCTCACAGTGGCCTAACCCTTGATCCAGCTTCAAGAAGTCTATCGCAAGGCATTCCAACGGTTGAAAGGCAAGAAGGTGCCGCATAGGGGGACGGACAACCGGAGATGGAGCTTTCGCTACAACACACGCGAAGCAGCCACGAATGTGGTCACGCACATGCTTATTCATGCCCGGCCAGAAACACCGGTCTTTGATGAGACCCAAAGTCCTTCCAACACCCTGATGCCCCCACTGGTCATGAGCAGCCTGTATTACCTTGGTTTGCAGCTGTCTTGGCACAAGGAGTTGATAAACTTGGCCAACGCTAGGGTCCTCTGTAACCCTGTACAAAACACCACATTTTTCAGTGATTCGTGGCCACTCTCGTAGCCAACCAGCAGTATTTTTGGGGTTGACCTCTGAAGTCGGATAGTCCTGGCCTGGTTTCCACTTACAAGACCAACGTGTCCAAACCCCACCAAGTGCTTCGTCCTCCTTTTGCATGGATGCTATTTCCTGCAAGGAGTATGACGGAAGCAACGACGACATCAACTCTTCCGACTGACCACCGCTGTCCTCTGTCAAAGATGGGACCTCTCCAGCTGATCGTAGTTCATCTGGCACTGGGGTGCACTGCGTGATAGTTCTGAGAACAACCGAGGAGTCTGCCTGCTCATTGGATGGATGGCGACTCAGAGCATCGGCGCACTTATTGGACCGCCCCGACCGGTACCTGATGTCCAGGTCAAAAGCCGCCAGCTGGGCCACCCACCTTTGCTCTGTGGCGCCCAACTTTGCAGTAAGTAGGTGGGCGAGGGGGTTATTGTCGGTCCAAACAACCGTGTGACGACCCAACAGATACTCTCTAAATTTGTCAGAAACTGCCCATTTCAGGGCCAGCAGTTCTAATTTGAAGCTTGACAAGTCCGGATAGGTTTTCTCAGCACCACGCAATCCCCGGCTTGCAAAGGCAACTGGGTGAAGCCTTCCCGACTCATTGTACTGAGACAAGCAAGCTCCCAAGCCTCTCAGGGACGCGTCAATTTCCAAGACAAAGTCTTGATCGAACTTTGGGTATGCTAGCACTGGTGTCTCGCACAAAGCAGCCTTCAAAACCTTAAAGGATTTCTCTGCCTCGATGGACCAAGTAAAGGGAAGGGATCCCTTCCCTGCTTTTATGCCTGCCTTGCCTGTAAGGGCATGTAAAGGCCCAGCAATCTCTGCAAAATTCTTCACATACCTCCGATAGTAGGAGGCCAATCCGAGGAACGACCTAACCTGCTCTGTGCTAGTAGGAGTTGGCCACTGCTTGATGCGGTCTACCTTCTGAGGGTCTACAGCTACTCCTTTGTTACTCACTATGTGCCCAAGGTGGCACACCGAAGATTGGAAAAACTTGCACTTGCTCCCATTCAATTTCAGACCGTAACACTTCAATCTCGTGAGGACAGCTTCTAGCCTATCTAAGTGATCCTCAAATGTGCGTGAGAAAACCAAGACATCATCCAAATAAAGGACAAGTTGAGAAAGGTTCAGATCGCCGAATATTGACTCCATAATACGCTGAAACGTGCTTGGGCTGTTCACAAGCCCTTGTGGAAGGCGTAAGAACTCGTACAGACCCCACGGGACTCTAAAAGCAGTCTTGGCCATCGAGTCCGGGTGAACAGCCACCTGGAAGTAGCCATGGGCTAAATCCAGGGAGGAGAATAACCTTGCCCCATCCATTGACTCGAGGGTCTCCTCTATCCGTGGAAGAGGGAAGGAATCCTTCGTGGTCTTCTCGTTGAGTCGTCTATAATCGATGCACAGACGAAGTTGCCCATTTTTCTTCTTGACCAGGACGATGGGGCTTGCGTATGGACTAACCGATTTTCTGATGATATTTTGGTCAAGCAAGTCTTGCAACATTTTCTTGACTTCAGCCATGCGGCTTGGAATTACTCGCCTATAGGGCAAGTTCACAGGCTTGTCGTCAGCCAACTTGATCTCATGAGGGATCAAATCACAGAAACCTAAATCATAAGGCCCTAATGAAAAAGCTCCTTCGTGCTTCCTTATCAAGGAAACCACTGCCAGTGCTTCGTCACCAGTCATGCCTCGCACACTAATACCTGGAGGCAATAAGTAGGTAGAACCATCAGGAAGAGCGAAAGGTTCTCGCTCCTGTTCATCTTTAGAGCTCTCCACCCGTGGAGCAGGACAACCTGATGTTTCTTCCAAATTATCAATTACAACTTCATGGGTGGACACAACAATGCTGTCGTCATGGATATCAGTAATGACCTGATCCTCCATCAATGCTGTTGAGGCAGTTGCCACCCTGGTGAGAGCCGGAATAATCAGTTGCTTCGAGCCAGTATTCGCCACCAGGACCGGGATTGTAGTTCCTTCTACTTCTTGGATGCCCTCTACAACAGGCCATAAAGAGACTGTGTTGTCATTCCCCAAATCATCTCCGTCAACATCGTGTTGAAGCGGTCTGAGCAGAACAGTTTTCCCTTCAAAATCAGCGCAAGGCGTGCCAATCTCACAACGGATCAGCTTAGCGCAAGCTGGGGGTACCGACTCACACTTATGAGTCCAAACTTCTGCGACTTGGGGACTTGAAACGACTTCCTTCGTGACTTTGTCACGACTGCAGTCAAACGACCTGAACCAACGTAGGGCGAAATCCCAATCTGAGCCCAGTGAGCGAATGTTGTGATGCGGAAGCCCAGCAGACAACATTCTCAAAATATTGCAACCCAATAGGACAGGATATTTATCCCGCCTACCACCAGAGTCCGAAGCTTCCTGTCTAGTAACTAAGAAGCTGGCTGTAAACTCATGTCCCAACACCTTAATGGGGGCCTCAAGAAACCCTTCCACTGGAATACGTAGACCATTTGCTCCCAGCAAATTGATGTATGTGCCCACCTCATTTAATTTCCCCACCTTTGAAGCTAACCGACTGTGATAAAATTTGGACGAAATCAAGGACGTTTCTGCACCCGTGTCTAATACACAGCAAACTGGAACTCCATGAATGCAAATTTTGGCAGTAGGGCTGCTCGAGAGGAGCTTCCTGTGGTCGTCCCTATTCATCATCCTATCAACATCCAAGGAAAAGTCATCATCATCATCACAATTGGTACTTCGTGGCTCGGAATTTCTGTGACTGGTGGGCACAACTAAGTCCTCCGCCATAGTGCCCTTTAAGACGGAGGCAGGGCGTTTCCCGATGGGGAAGCCTGCCCCGATGTTACTTCTTTGTTGCTGGCGTCTTGGGCTCGCTTTTTAGCGTAGCATTTCTCTTCTGAGTGCCCTTGTTTGTGGCAGAAGGTGCAAGTCACTGGGTTCCGGTTGTTCTTCCTTCGCTCCTGGGCCTGAGACTTGATGACGCAGGACTGCAGTGAGTTTGAAACACTCTGCAGCTGAGTACTCATCTGAGTCTGCTGCTGGACCAGTAACTGGACAGCTGTCTGAAGTTGTTTCTGTCCTTCCAGTAGCTCTGACAGCAACTTTTGATTATCTACACCAGAATTATGGGTAGACGTAGACCCTGTTGCTCCACCTGGGTTTCGGCTTCGCCCCTTTTCGACTGCGCGCAGGTCTACTTCCTCAGGAACCTCGTCGGCATCAGCAAGCAGACTCAGAGCCAATTCTCGCAAATCATAGAAAGAGACATCTGGACGGTCCAAGGTCAACTTCCGAAGCTCTCTCCGTACTGAAACATCTCGAACACCTCGAATTAGTTGTTCCCTCAGGGCCTTCTCCTTCAACTGGACAACAGCTCCCTTTTCATGGGATCCCTCAGCGGTCGACTCTATTTTGCCATACAGACGCATAAGAGCCCTGCTATACTCCGCCAAGGTTTCACCATCTTCCTGGACACGACTGTAAAAGGAAGCATTAAGTGACTGAACAGACTCCGGAGAGCCAAACCTACGCAACAGTAGCGCCGAGAGTCCTTCAAAATTCTCTTTTTCTGTTGCAGGACAGCAGAGGACCTCCTCCTTGGCCTCACCCCCCAGGTGGTCTATAGCCGTGCTAACCAACTCTTTTCCCGAGAGACCTAGTTGTCTCGCGTAGGTATCTAAATCACCGAGCCACTCCCTTAATGTCTGATCACCCGATTTGCGCGGCACTCCATTGAATTTAGCTAATCTGATGGTCGGAGCCCGCTGATATCTTAGGTTTTGAAAAGCTCCTGCCAACGTTTCGGCCAAGGCCTTGTTGGACTGAGCAATGACGTCAGCCAAACCTTCCGGCATTGCCATGGTAAGAACCAGACTCGACAGAAAAATATTCAGGCTATACAATCAAAAATTTAGAAATCCCAATCACAGGGTAACCTCCACCAGTGACACCAGGAGCAAATAGTGGCTACTCGACAAAACTTTACACCTGACCTGCTGTTTTTTTTTTCTCAACAGGAACAGAATTGACTCACTTATTTCGAGCGTTAGAATCTGGATGCACCTAATGATAAACTCCCCAGATCCTGCTTTGTTCAAATACACCTAATTATTATACTTGTATAAAGGTGTTCTTTTATTCACTACTCCAAACTACATAAGTGACCTGCAACACTATAAATCATTTACATAAACATAGAATTCGAATGATGTCATACAATGCCTTTGAAATAGACAGCTAAATCTGAGCACCAACCAATTTTTTTTTTTTTACACCACTGAGACTGATAAATTTATATATATCAGAGGTTTTTTTGTTCCAAATATAAACAATGTTATCTTGATGCTCTTGCGTCGACTAGAGCCCCTGTATCCTGTCTACGACGCCATTTTCTGTAGTAGTATGGTCGACCCTGGGACAATCCAAGGCTGGTGGTCCATCTACGATGAGGTGGATAGGGAGCCCGAAGAAACTTGGACGCAGCACTCTTATATACAATGCTTGATTAAATTTTATTCCATCTGATGTACGTCAATGATATACAATCCCAATAAAAAAAACCCTGTTAATAAAAGATAGAATAAACAATAAGCGTCAGTTGTTTGTCAAAACTATACACTCAGTCTCACCAGTTTGTCGATTATACATTTTCCAAAAATAAACAATGTACAATACACTTTCAAATGGATGTGTGTATAACAGAGCTGTATAAATCCACCGCGCAATTTAGCTTGTTGGCTACTAGACGCGATGACATTGCCAAGTAAAACAGTGATTATACATGCAATACATGTACTCATGAATAATATAATTCCTATTTCCTCCTCAAAAAGGCTGGAAATTATGCAATATAAATCGACACCTAGAATTCACAAGCTTACCCTGATATAAGATGGGGTGGTGAATAATGGTGAATAATGTGACGAGTAGTGCTCAAGGTAGTATAGCTACAGTGTCCAATGAGGTTTAGACGGAGCCCATGACATAATATTATGAAGACACTGCTCGAAATCTATGAGTAGTCGGCAAGGTCTATAAAATGCAAGGTACATGTCAAATTCAACATGAGTGTATTTATAAAATGACACTAATAACAATGCTCTATACACAAGTTTACAGTGGAGTGTGTAAAGACCAATACAATAAAAGGGAAAAAGAGATTCACCCAATCTGTGTAATTAAGCGCCTAAAATAGTTAGTGAGCCTTGCCACACGCAGCGCAGTGCCCCAATAATACAGCGCCATCGCGCTGAAGCTAGCACGCGTTCAGTAACACACAGCGCAGTGCCCCAACAACACACGTACGTTGTACACACAACAGCAAGAAGCGACATTGTACATGTACAGTAACGACACATGGGCGCCATTGCGCAATACACTACATGCATATTATTATGACCCGCTGCGCGCCCACTGGCCAAAAGTTATAAACTTTGTTGCGAGTACAGCATCCCTAAAATCACACATATTCATGTCTATTGCCCCTATGAAAGTTATCTGCACATAATAATGCACCAGTTTAACATATTGAGACAATGAAACAATATCGAGAAGCAGTTGTAAAATGGACACATTTGAGGAGAGAAAGTCTCACCTGCGACAGCAAGAAGCACGCACGGCAAGAGGCCGCAACGACGTGCCTGGGTGAATCGGCCCGAAACGTAATTATTCCGCCATTCACAAAATATCCGTCGCCTATCGACTTTATCTCTCAGGTACTACCAATTAACACAAGTGTGTCTTTTGAATGATATAAACAAGCTTCTCGACAAAGTTTGTCCCTGGGAAGAATCCAATAATGCATTCTTAACCAATAACTTGGAACTAACTAGTGAGGCGTAGATATACGACCCCAGATAGGTGTCACAAATAACCTTGCCAGTCCCACTAATTAACCGGCTGACCTTGGGTGTGCTATTATAAAATGTCGTGCCCCTACATAAACAAAACAAATACTCGAACCCTCTTTTTTTCAGACATCCTTGGCCACCCCACCCCGGCCTACCCTGCCTCCATATATAACCAGACATTGGAATTCGAAGCCCAAAGTCCAAAATGGTTGATCTCTCATTTTTCACAGTTTTCTTGATTACTTTTGCTTCTTTGTTGTATGGCCGTCATGTTTGAAGGAAATACGAAAGAGTGTTTATTAAAAGAAACTGAGAAAAAGATCGGGGAAGGGGGTTCAAAAAGTGATGTTGGGTGTGTCAGTCTGCCCAATCCTCAGATATCAAATATGACAATAAACATGTCACAATGAAAACTAATATGACAATAAACATGTCACAATGAAAACTAACTTTACAGTCAATTTGCTGGTGAATTAATTGGTATTTAATCACGCATGCAGTGCCAATTTTGAACAAATGTTACTGAAATCTTATATAAGTTATTGGATATATCCGTTATACTAAATTAAATTTGGGCATTCATAGTTATTTTACGCTTTTCAACACATTTTAATTACAATAGCATGAACACGTTCTTTTATATTACATTTTTTACAGCGACCAAATACAACCGACTAACAATACATTGCACTTCTATGTATAATTAACAGGGGTTGATATTTTATATTACCTCATTCCTCAAAAATGCACACCTGCAACAAATGCAACTTTTAAATCTTCATTATTGTCAATTGTATTGGTGGTTTTTTTGGTTTATGCCAATTCATCTATTTACATTTCCTAACCCATGGTATGCCCAAATAGTTTAACGCTGGTTTCCGTTGGGGCCCTGCATACAGATCTGATCACTACATGTATAATTTACAATATAATAAGTTCATAAATACCTAAGACAGTTTACCCATTCCTATTGGTCGAGAGCCCGTCATTGTGGCCGATTTAAAACGGTTGATGAAGACCGGCTGGCTGGCCTTACACACTTTTCCAGTGTCACACCAAATTTGGACTCCTATGAAATTCGGCGCCTTTTACCGCTTTATTGGTTGAACGTTCAAAGCCTCACATCGGCACGCGCAAAACCACCAGTGAGTCAGTATTTCGTTATCCTGAATTCAGAATACAACGGCACAGCTGCGTTCTGCGCCACCTCGCTTCGTGGTCAGATGTGTAGTTCGGAAGATAGCACAATGTTGAAATACAACATCAATGTTGCGTCAGTGACACCAGGCATTAACATATAAATATATTTAAATAAATGGAACCTTTAGAAACAAATTGCACGTAATAGTTCCGTAGATATAGACCTTTGAAAACGCACCTTTTATGTGACACCACATGACATGTGGTGAAATCCCATGACGTCACTTAAACTTTAATCTCCAACACATCCCGTTTTGCGCACATTCCAAGTCACAACCAAATCATCGAATAGTTCTTAAACTGTGAGCCTTAAAATGCATCTTTAATTTGACATCACATGACATGACATGACATGAGATGACGTCATCATAACGTCACTTTATTTGGCATAACTAAGCTTATATACAAAACAGTGTGTGCAGGCTACTTTGGGGAATACAATCGCGAATTAGGTTTAACACACCCAATTTAGACGAAACTTTTTTTAACGTGTTTCACGAGTGTGCCCGAACTTTATGTTTAACTTGAACATCAACTCGAAAGCGTTTACAAGATCTCGTTTCCACAATTGGACTATCAGCAATGTACACGTTTAGTTCAATTTTCCAACCTGAACCAATAACCATGCATGTGCATTTTTTATGACATCTTATATAAATTTGTTTCTTACGCACCGATTGTGAATTCTATCAAGAGCTGTATTCAGCTGAATCATCTAGGTTCATTTCTATTTCATAAACATTGGAGGAGCACGTTAAAGTGGAGTCATCTGCACATACACTACATTTTGGGGGGATAAAAGATGGCAAATCACTGGAATAATTAATAAAGTGTGCCTAAGATCAGAAATATTTACAGACGCAGAACGACCACCTATGTTTTACTTAAATTAACTGATAAATCAAGTTGACATATTTAGCGCATGAAAACACTCGTTTAGTGTGCTCAGTGTTGAGTGCAAATATCCTGATTGTCAACTTGGGATCACATTGTTTTCATCAAAGTAAGTATATGCTGCTGAGCGCACCGATCTTTCTAAAACCCTACAGACAACTGACAGTATAGAAATAGGTCGATAATTACTTGATGTACTACGTTTGCCTCCTCCCTTGTGAATTGGTGTTACCAAATCGTGTTTCTAGTTTTTAAGATATTGCTCACATCTTATGGAGAGGTTAAAGGGAAAATACAACATTTGCAAACATCAAAAAATAAAACTACCAAATCATTTTGAAATACCTTGCTGGACTGTTAGTGAATGACAGTGTAAAGCATCCTGTAAAATCATGGCACCTGATATACTGTCATTTTCAAGAAAAGTGGTATGTTTGTATCAATTTCCAACGCCGACCAGCGTTGGAAAAAACCGGCTTTTTTTTCAAATACTGGCCCCAATTGACCATCGCACTTGTTTGCAATCGATTACACACCTATGAACGGGTACAAGCCAGCTAGACTGGTTCCCTGACCTTACAATTCCCCAATATATGTAAACTGCTCTGTTTCTTCTTATATGGAGTCAGGGAACCAGACTACAGAAAATGATTGTTTTTCTTGGTTTTTATAGCATTTTCGAACCCAAAACCTCAACAAAGTCAGTGTAACTATATTTGCTATATATTTCCAACCCCCCAATTCCATCCATTTCTGAAAATTACGGCAAAAGCAAATGATGTATCTTCCCTTCAAGTATATGGAGTAAACATTTGGTAATATACGACAGGTCTTTTTATTTATTTTACACTAATGCCATCCAGACCTGTTATTTTCCCAACTGAAATTGATAATTGCTTTTAATGAACTCTTCTGTAATGTTAAGTACTAGGCATTCATCACCAGGAGTATTAAGGATAGAAGTGCGAGTATTATCATCGTATTTTTCATATTCGCGCGGAGGGCCATTACCAGTCATACGTTTTCCGATTGTAGAAATATGTTCCTTTCATGTATCAGCTCTCTACTCCCAAAGATTTCGTTTAATTAAATTACCTGTTCCTAAGAAGAGAGAAATCAGCCGTTATACTATAGCTTTACTTTATTCGAGGGATTTATGAAATTGTGAAGCACTGAAACTGAGTGAAGGAACCACTAAGTTTGTTGGTCTGTTGAAGTGTTATTTCTGTTCAGAGAAGTTTGCTATTTGTACAGGCTGATTAAAAAAAAAGAAACCAAAATATTGGGACCATTTTAAAGTAAGTTCTGCATGAAGCACTTTCCATACCTAAAATAATGAAAATTATTAGAAAGTCCAATTCATAAGCTTTCTTTTAGTACAAGAGTCATTCAAATCACTCGCGTACTTTTCAAGTTACGGAATTTTAAACACAAACACCTTTTGGAGTTCTGTTCACAGATTACAAAAAAGCTAAGTGTTCTTTCAGCGAAACGAAAACAATTTACATTGATTTAGAAAGTGCTATATGCAGATCTTCACTAAAAATGGTCCCGACATCTGGGTTTCGCTTTTTGACTCACCCCTGTCATGTAACTAGATGACTGTCTGGACACCTCTTCTTTAAACCCTTTTTAGGAATAGGCTATGTAACACACTTTGCATCTATGCATGGATCAACAATTTGCATACAGCACCCATTGGGAATTTGATCACAGTGTAGCCAACCTGAACACATCAACTGTCAGGAGAGCATACTTCATCGAATACACCACAAGATAACATCAGTCTATTAAAGTTGGGTCAAAATCCTTTTGAAAACTCTTACCTAGGAGCGAATCATGTGATTAAAAAAAATACTTTTACATGAATTTCATTTTTGAATGATTTAAGAATAAAACTCAAGTGATTTCACAACTCAATGGATGTCACACACTGAACTGACGATTCTCGCTCATAATATCAACCGCGCGCGCGTGTGCTATGTAAACGCGCTCCATCCCACCCATTCACAGATTCGCCCAATTATAAAACAAACCGCCAACGCAACTTTCCAGAAATGTGTCAATTGACATATCTTTAGGAAAGATCGTAATATTTTTTTTTTCAAAATGACAGCATATTAGAAGGAATACTTTTTGGATAGACGCAAATGGTCTTTATGCTCTACCTTTAAAATCGCTGTCGTAACTTTCGAACAATCACGTTGCAATCCTCACGAAAGCGCTTATTTGCCAAACCATAGACAAACACGTTAATGACGCTGTTGAGATATACGACGTCACGGAAAACAAGCATTGCAGCTACTACACTTGCGTGGTGGGAGGACTTGAGGAAGTCTACGTACAGGCTCCCTAAGGCGTAGATCCTGAGGGTTAAGTAAGGCAGCCAAAGTATGAAGAGCATGAAGGTAGCTATGAAAAGCATCCTGGTAATACGAGACTGGGCTATGTTGCGACGTTGTGGTCTACCCTGTGCGGTGGGATGGTGGATACCAGCTTCTGGTTTCCTAAACCTCTTAGCTTCCTGATTATTCGCGCGTGAGCTGGTACTATCCATTGACTGTGCATCAGTGCCTACCTGGATAACACCAACTCGGCTGGTGCTTGTGGATGGGTAACCCGAAGCACATCTTGCGGCATTCTTGACTCCTTCAGATCCGCCAGCGCCAGTACTAGTAGAATCATGCTGACGTTCCTCAATAGTGCCGAGGGGAGCTGAGGTTGATGGAGCAACCTCGCGTTGTATTTGATCACTGATGGCGCAGATACGGAGACGATGTTGAGTAAGTTCTGGTTCTACGTTCTTTTGGCGTTTGTGGAGAAAGATAAAAATGGCCGAGTACAGGATGGTTACCGCAGTGAGTGACAGAATGTACATACAAATCGGGAGGAACTTCAAGAGTGCGCGATGGAACGTGTCAATTTCGTGGTGATGCAGGGCTAAGCCTTGGTGCAGTTTGTAAGCAGCTTCGGGTATGACTCCGATATACCCAGCCACGAAGCAGGCAGCGGCGATGATCTTAGCTCGTCTGATTGTCACAAGGCGATTGAGGGAGCGGCAGACGGTATCGAAGCGATCGAACGCTATAGCCGTGATCAGTAAGGCCGTTGTGTAGAGCAAGCCCATACTGAGGAAGTAAACGACACTTTCCGAGTCGAAGTCGAGGTAATGAGACACAGAGGCTATGGCTATCGCGTCTACAAGCCGAAGCAGACAGATGAGTAGATCGGCCGTAGCCAGTGCTGCGATGAAGATCTGTGTGGTTGTACGGAGCCTTCGAGAGCAGCATACACCTAGGATCATAAGGTTAGCGGGCACACCCAGGCAGAACGTGGTTAGCCATAACGTAAACTCTGCCCATCGTGTTACCTCCAACTTACTAATGAACGGCCAAGTCACAGACGACCCATTAGTATCTGCCATTTTCACTGTCTTGCTAAAAGTCTTGTATCTGTTCAACACGAGGCACTTCTACAACAAGTGTTGACAGGTAGCTCAACAGCTACCTGGTAGCTCAACAGCTACCTGGTAGCTCAACAGCTATACTGTTTAGTTGTTACACTGTAAGCGAAAGACAAGATTGATCGTTCTTTGATAGCCTGGTAAAAAGCAAAATGATGTTTTCCGACTTTAGACTTTTGTTTAAATGTGTTATAGAGCATAGGTGTAGTCTAGTGAACAACAAACGTCAGTGCACAAATTGAAGTTGGTTAGAATGTGCGCGTGACGGTTCCTGACAAGACTGGGCATGCTCTATGTCCATGGACCAATACGTCGTTGCTGATTGTTTATCTTGAACGTGGGTGGTCTGACGATTATGTGCTTGAGGTAGGACTCCGCGGACGTCAATGCACAGCAGATTTGCGTTGTGTACTTAATATGATATATTTCAACCGGATAATTATCTCGTTACTTGCGGCAAAATAGGCAGCGCCATTCATCAATGTACAGAGCCAATCCTCGAGAGGTTACTTGCATAACAGTGTGTGCTGGAGGTTAATAATAAATCTTGTTGCTTAGTTTCTGTTTATTTTTACGCGGACGGATAACTTATAAGAAAAAAAGGAGAAAGTGTAATGCCTATTTGTCACCGTTTTTACGAACAGCCACATGTGTGGATTTTGAAGAAAAAGCGTTTTGGAGATAATTGCAAACAAGTTTCTTCTATTTTAAAACTGCAAAATATACTACTTTGCAGAAAATTTGTGCAGTAATAAACCTTCACATGGTTTTATGAGAGCTGAATTTTTACGTGAACCAAGTAATTAGACTTAATACAGTAGTTAATAGTGAAAATTAACTAGTAAAGATATGCGTCTCTTCGTGAAAAAAAATTCAAGTTTCCTAGATTTTGGCCCTTAATCTGTTCAATGCGTTTTTCCATAATGGCCAAAATGTATGTGGCTCTTCGTGAAAACGCAAAATGGAATTATTGGGATTTCTGCCACTTGCATCATTAATGTAATTTTGAAATTAATGATGTTTTGCTTACAGAAACATGTCAAAATGGTTAAGTACAATGTTTTAAAGCAAAATATTGAGAAAAAAAAAATCGAAATCGAAAAAAAAAGGTAATTGTTGACATATTATGTCGCTCTTCGGTAAAACGGTGACGTATTATTCTACAGAAGACAGCTGTAAGTACGCGCTGTTTGGATTTGTTTGCCGTAATCCCTCGTCCCGTAGGAACGAACGACTGTGTGTAACCTCGTAATCAGCTTTCTCGATGAAAAACAAACTCTTTATAAGCTGTTAAATCCGCCGAGACAACTCTTGTTTTTGTTAATATTTCTTTCCTTTCCATTTAAGACTCTTCGTCATAGGATTTGTCTACGTTTTTTTCCCCAACCAGGCACGTTGGCACTTTCATATAAAGTCCGATCGACTTCAAACTTGGCAGACACTTATACGAGCATCCGAAGATAGTCCACGAGGATTTTCGTCATCATGACGCCATCAGGTGTCTAGTTAAAGTACATTGAAGGTACATTAAACGTAGGCCAACAGGGTGAACCAACAAAGCGGAACCCAAACCCTTAAAATATTTCATATTTAAAAAAAAAATATGTAGCACCAAACAGGGAAAGCCAATTTCATATAGGCTACTTTGTGATGAAACAATTCTGAAATTCCTCAATTCGTTAAAAAAAAAATTCACCATTCAAACGCAATGACCCTAAAACCTGTTTCGTCCCAGCGCTGATGTGACGCGGAAATGTAAGTGCTTACAATGATCGCGGACAGCTTCTTCGTGGTCGAAAATAATGAGGGTGGGAACCAGTTCACATGCATAGCCTGATTCCGACTCTCTACTATCATTCGGAACGCATTTGTATTTACAAGCGGGGACCAGTCTTTATATGACCCTAGGGTGCGTTCGATTAGCTTCGGGTTTGCATACTGCTGGGTTGACATTCGAGGCAACCACAAAATGAGGCTAATCGAAAGCTGCGTTGTATTCGCTTGGCTTCCAGGAAAATTAAAAGTGGAATTACAACCTGAAATCCCCGAAAGTTTCATGTTTTGGATTGTGTACTTATCCTATTACAAAGGTCTGATTGAAAGGAAATCAGCGTTATGTCTTACGGAAGACGAAAAAAGCTGGTTGTGGACATTGTGTGGTATATCCATACTTATTTGAAGTCGTGTATATTCAATGCACCGTACATGTTGCGTGCGTGGTACCAATTCACAAATGTTCTTACACGTCCGCACAGTGCGAACCGCTAGTATCACAACTTTCACTATAAGCTCAATTTTTTCGAAGACAAAATTGTGACCCCCAACATTAGTTCTCGTATGGTTTTCGCAAAAATAGCAAAATGAAAATTAAAGCAAACATGGCATATGGATGTTCGCATAATACGGGTCCTTGATGTGCAAGGAGATTCCGTGTTGTATTTTAACTTGCTGCGCCAGAGTCAAATCCGGTTACGCGGAAATCACAAGTTGTGTCCGGGTTGAACGGATCGGGCAAGCACCAGGGCATTGTTCACAGCCAGCCAACCTTAATCCCAGTGCCTACTTACATCCTCCTGATCCTGGTTGGAAACTTACTTTCTGCATTCTGATTCCATCTGTAATAGCTAGTAACGGATATAAAATATCATGTACTTGGTGCTTTGAACGATATTGTATGTGTTTTGAATTATGAAGTTCATCCTCCTCAAAATCATCCTCCCTTTTCCATTTGGCTAATAATCGCATTGAGTGATATATACCGCAGGCAGCATTGGTAAGATTTAAAACTGAAGAAGAAAAAAACAAATGTGTTTTCCGATCTCTCACTATGAGGAATCCGTCTGTACCCTGAATACCTCAACCATAAAGCTGAGTTTTAAATCATGGCCAGGCACCAGACATTTCCCGTACCGTAGTCACAATGTGCAAGATTTGTTTTACGATCAGTACCAGGGCCCAATTACATGGTGCTGCTTAACATGATGCAGTTAGCAGAAAAATTGTGCTTACTTTATAGCAGAAAATTGTGCTAACCTAGCTTAAGCACTATTTCACGGTGTGGTGTGGATGTGCTAACGGTCGTGCGCGCATGGCGATTTCTATTGATACGTCAGTTAAGCAAATGTTCCTCTGAGGTAAGCCCACTTTTGCTGGGCTAACTGCTTCCATGAAATAGACGGAGGCTCTGTTACTGCTAGCAGTGCCATGAAATAGGGCCCCGGGTAAGAGAACAGCTAGTGGGATCGTAGTATTCAACGCCATAGGGACGAGGATGCGTAGTTAGCATGGTGCGAGCCATGGGGTCTTTTAACATCTCTGGGCCTTTCCGCTTTTTTTAAGCAATACTTATGACTTTCTTATGCATGTGAGGAAACGTTTGAAAATTCAAACTGATCAAACTTTAAAGAGAACCGGATTGCGAAAACATAGATTCACATGGAAATTTCATCTATTTTCATTAGACATTCAGATGAATAATATGCGAAGTATCCGATAATATCTTCATAGTCCAAACCTACGATTAAGGTACCACTGTACAAGCTTCAACGCCGAAAGCATATTGCGCCATCTACTGGGTATATTAGTAAGATAACCCGTCGGGGAAGGGCGGGGGGGGGGGGGGAGGGAGTTGCTTAATTAGTAGGTAACATCATGCTAGGGATGGTCTATACTGGGTTGGTTATTGATGGAGCGGTGAAGCCACTAATCATGGGTCGCCTCGTCAGCAGGCCTCGAAGGCGCGGTTCTAGAACCAACATTTTTTTGGGGGGGGGGGCTAGCACGGTGGATCCAGAATTTTTTCAGGGAGGCGGGCTGAAATGTTGACCAGTTATTTTTTCCAGACACTTAGGCCACCGAAAATCAATAGGGGGGGGGGGGGGGGGGGGGGGCTCATGCCATATTTTCAATGGGGAGCACCAATAAAATCCTACAATCATTCACACTATATTAACTAATGCACCCTTGTCACGGCTATTTCTTCTTTTAGGGGGAGACCGTTCGCATGTACATCACAATCCTTCTTTTTGCTAATGCAATTTTTTTTTTACGGAATTTATTTTGGGGGGGCTAGACAAAATTTTTGGGGGGCTACAGCCCCCCTAGAACCGCGCCTGAGGCCTCGCCTTAATGTTATTCCATTACGACATGACACTCCAATACTCAATCTCTTTCGATCTCGGAACTTTATTGTGCCCAAAAAGACAAAGAGGTACAAACCCTGATTAAAAAAATAATATATTGTAAGAATGGAGGACCTTTACCGGTGTAAGATCAGTCATACCACTAGAACTCAGTAAGACTCAGCTTAGACCCTGAAAAAACTATAATGAGTAATGAGGGCACCATTACACACATTTTTCTAATTTACATTTCAAATAATTAATTACACAAAGACACCTATCCCAGTATCAGCTCTTCAATTAAGGATACAGATATAGCTGCCTTCCAAAAGCTTGTAAAGCAGAAAGCCAAGACCGTCAGCCACCATGTATACGTGCGTGCTTTTCGTGCAGTCCACGAGCTGGCTATGGCACACGTCTGCTCACGGCCCTATTGTATACAATTGTATACATTTGTGCAACCAAAATGTATTGAGTGCAAATTCCAACAAAATAAGTATGGAGCGCCTGGATTATTTTCTCCGATTACCCAAATTATTACCTGAAAATTCATCAATTTACTTTCCGTTAGCCATTTTGAAGGACATGTATGGTGGACACAATAAGAAGGAGCTACCTAATATGTCGAAATAGCAAATGTCATATTGTGTCCAAATATAGCGCTCTCCTTCATGTAAACAATATATCTCAAAAAGGATGACTCCGTTCAACTGCAATACAGGTATATTAACAAGGAGTAAGAAAAAACATTATGCATTGTCTCTATATTCTTCAAGCCGGTGTCATATAAAACGAATTTTCTACTATGAAATCGGGCCTCTTTATTATGGTCTCAAAACCTCGCACGTGACCGTTCACTGTTCCGTTTATATTCACTAAGATGTTCAATACAGGTCAAAAGGAAAGTTACACAATTTAATAAAAAAAAAAAAAAAAAATTGGCTTGCTCCATTTCAACCCCCCCCCAAAAAAACATAGGGATAAAGTACATCCTATTAGCTTTTAACTGTTAACATTTCACGTGATTTGCATACTCTATTCCCAATTTATGTCTATTTCAATAAAAAGATTATAAAACTTGGCTGTCCACCACTGATCATTTACCGTTCTACGAACCGATGCATGCCTATTATGAAACGTGGACGTTTAATCTGTTTAATCTGTAATATTCATCCAGCTCAATAGCTTTTAATGGCATTCCACGGACAGCTTTTAGTTAATGTCATAACTCCTCTAGATCAATTTCAGTAATTCTTTTTTGAGACGAGTGAAAGACGATGCTCTTTGCACATATCCTTAATTGATGTTTCAAATTTGATTGCTCTTTAAGATAAACAAAAAAAATCATTCGGGTTACTTTCTTTTTGACTCACCCTGTACAACCAATGAGTCTGTTTTTCACATTGTCCAAATTGCAAGAATAGTGGACATGTACCACACTCATGAACCGTTCAGTACTTTGGACTTTAGAGTTTGATAAATTTACTATAATCTCTTTTTGCAATTATTAATTAATCCTTAATTAAGTGTTGACAACACTCAATATTTGTTGTTGGATATTCCATCAGCTAGTATTCGCTAAAAAACACTTTGTATACATTAAACAACAAAGATATAATAAGGAATTTAATCTCCACTGTAGAACGTGTCAACGTGTTTTCTTTCTTTTTATATAATATTCATTTTACAATCCGTGCCAAGTTAAGGGCATAAACGATTTTGCTAAACGTCTAGACAGAAAATAGCTCTCATTGTGTACACAGCAAAAACTCTAATACTACAGTTCCCATTACGTAATTAATATTTGTTTAACATCACTTCAGTTAAAAGAACAGTGTTGCATAAGCACAAGCAATTATGACTTAATTGTAACTCGTTTTAAGTTAATTAATTGTAATTTTGTTAAAGACTGGGTCCATGTCACTGATCTCTATTATAATGACAGTAGTATAGTAGTGACCAGTATAATAAAGATCAGTGGTCCATGTCACAATATCGAATATCTCATGCTTCGAAATGCATAAGGGAATAAACGGTATCGCTAATAACATGTGTGCTTATACTCAACGCTTTTATTTTAGTTGCAATATTCTAATTCACATAATTATATATGACATTATTATTTCTATCAGGCTTCCAGCGGTAAAAAAAAATAAATCTGCGTGTTGTATGTTTTCGTAAAACGTATCCAGATGACAGCAAAATTGATAGTTAAAGTACCTGGATTGCGGACAATATTACTTTTGATATTGCCCGGCGCGCCCTCACCCAGGCATTTGCGCTTGTTCCCGCACGATCTAGAGCGTCTTCCTGATGGAGATCAATGGTAGAATCTAACAGTTGAAGAGCGTTGCGCGCGGTACCGTCGAGCATGGACGCCCACGCAGCGCGCAGAATGGCAGCTTCAAATAGTTTGACGAAATAGGAGAAAATGAAGACAGTGTCCTGAAATGTATTTCTTGCGAATAAAGTCAGCCTGATATAAATTGTAATAATATTGGAGGATTTTTTTTTCCGGAGGATAAACGCAGGCATATACTGCACTCGCTACGACAATATTGCACTTGTCTTCGACTCGTGCAATATTGTTAAAGCTCGTGGTATATATTCTTGTATCCCCCTCAAAGCCATCCAATATTGTATAAGTATTGCTGTTATTTATACCTTACGATATTTGTGATGCGATCAATCTAAATGAATCGTTTGTCGGGAATGTTCGTTTGGAGATCCAGGCCAAAATAGGGCCACTTTAACACATCACTTCATCACATCTCTTGGTGTTTCGCCTTCCATATTTTTTTTAAACTTAAGATGGTATCAGCATGCGGTTTTCACAGCAGTAATGCTGAGATTGTGCTCTTTTCAAATTGTAAAAATAAATGACCAGGGTCTACAAATGATTCATTTAGCTCGCTCGCATCACATTTGGTGTCACATTTGATGCTTTGTCATATCACCATGAAATGTCAAGCAATACTTCTACAAAGAAAACAAATCGAAACTTGTGACAGATAAAGTGCTCACAAATAAACACTACCTATTTTTAAGATCATAATCAAACCGAACGCCACATTCAAAATCCTGCCAAGTGCTTTACTTATCAAATCCCAAAATAAATCGAACAAGCAGTACTTAAAAACATGAAAATATCAAGAAGATCTAAAGTGTTTTTTTAGTTTTTGTAGGATTTCCCCTTCCTAAAATAATTACATCCTAAAACGGGAGGCGTCGGTATACCTAAAACTTGATTGATGGTTTTGCAAGTTTAAACTGTTGGGAAAAGTGAACTCACTGATGTACGTACGTACGTACAGGCACCAGCTTCAACCTGGTAAGAAATTGCACATGAATAAGATTGCTTTCTGCCTCTAAACCGGAGTGAAATTCCCGAAGACAATCAAGTCACCGGGCACCGCCCCTTCCTCCAGTGTGATCAAATTCTTTGCCGGGAACAGCAGATTCTTCAGGGCAAAGAGAGACACAGCGTCAAAGGACTTGTTGAAGACACCCACCAGTTCTTTAGGCAGAATCTTCTTCAGGTTGTCGAGGAACTTCTTCTGCAAGTCTCGGTCATTACACTTACAGACTCCGCCGGGTGGTTTGAGGTTACCTGTCAAGCTAACACTGGACTCAGTGGCAGCGAATCCTATGGATTGGTTCTGACCGTCACCTGTAACACTCAGTGGTAAAGTGGTTTCCATATCAATCGTCACACCAAGAGAATGGTTACTGTAGTCGATTTTGCTCCATTCGTCACACCCAAACAAAGTACAAATTTTCCATCTGGACCCATATTTGAAGGAGTATTTCCTGCAGCCTGGAGAGTAGACCACTTTGGCTACCCAACCTGACGTCTCGTCTCCTGGGAGGAACTGCATTCCGGTGAGATCGACAACTGCCGTGTCGTTGCCGACTTTGACGAAGTATTCGAAGTGTGTGGTCGAACCTTTATTGCTTGTGGCGTCGGAATCAACCTTGGTCACAGGAAAAGGCGCTGACACTGAACCGCTTGTTGCTTTAGCGGACCAGGCAGTGTTAGTATTAGCATCGTCTGGTGGCTCGATAGCTTCTAAGGCGAGGCCAATACCACCATCGCCAAGAGCAGTTGGCATCACATCCTGGAAGAAGATCTTAGAGTTGATGATCAAGGAGCTATCATACGTTGATGGAATGGGCTCTTGGATATACAGCGAAGTTGCTGACTGTAGTCTGCCAGTAGTGGCTATGAAAAGCTGAAGGAGATCCCGGTTGCTAGGAGTATGGTAGACATTGAACTGGAAGTCATTGGGGTTAAGAGAATCCAGGATCGTAATTCCTTTAAGATCAAGAGTGCCGAGGTTGTAGACTTCGTAGCCGTCCTTCAGGCTGGTGAAGTAGTTGGTCAGAGCAAATCCAAAAGTTGGATTGGTGTTGCCAGCTTTGAAATTCCGGGCCGAAAAAGATCCACCATTGAGCTTGATGGCCACATTGTGCTGTGTCGAGACTGATCCTGGAACGATCGACAGAGGAACATCTCCTTGGATGAAAGCCCCATCAGTTTTCTTCACCTCAGCCTTCTCCAGTTCAATCCAGGTGTCGTTGACTAAGACAGAGTACTCATAGGTCCCAGATATGATTGGCATAAAAACCTGAGCAGAGTTGGAGTTATTCAGCAGAAACTGGAGACGGGGAGCATTGAAGGTGAAATTGAACACCGTCTTAAGTGTTTTGCCCTCCGATGTCTTGTATTCTTTCTCAATGTTGCCGGTTTCTCTGATAAAGACTGGGTTGTCTTTGCGATTGGCATATTGCCCGTATAACTGGTCATTCACCCGTTTAGCTGTCATAGAGAACACAACATCCCAACCTGCACAGACAGATGTTCCCTTCATGGCACGGAGGACGTCATCACGAGACACGGATGTTGTGGTTGTAGCCCCATCAGATGTCGAGGGACGTGCCGTAGGTAGTTTACCTGCGAGAGCCATCGGTAAAACCGACTCAATGGGCTTGACGTAATCTTGGCGAGTAAGAAGGCGCCGAGCTGCAGAGTTCATCTCTGAGGGAGTCATGGTAGATTCCTTCAACTGGGCATAGATGCGGAAGATGAGACGGACGGTTACACCTCGAGAGTAATCGTCAAACTCGATACCTTCGTTGCTCTGAGTCTTGGGCAGTGAAACCTGCCAGCTTGAGAACGGAGTGATACTGGAAGTTTTAGCACCGAAATGATCTTGCCCAGTTGTTGCCAGTACAACGTCTGGGTTCTGAACATTTCCGTGATCATATACCACATGACTGCTGGTGCTTACGTCATGAAGACCGGTGAAGATACGTGATGTCGTCTGGAACTCCAAGGGTTCGCCATCAAAACCACGGTCAAAGAACGGATTTCCATCAAAGACGAGCTCCGTGTAATACTTGCCACTATTAGTGAACGTTATGCCGCCAATCTCGACGTGGATACCCTCTATGCGGACGTAGTTGTACGAAGAAAACTCACGTTTGTTAAGGCTGATGTTGAAAGTGTAGCGCTGGTTGTTTGTGATACTATCTGGTGTCACGCCGTGAATTTCATAGATGATTGGATAGTTCTGGAATTTTGGTTGAGGCTGAACTGTTAGGCCATAATTAATATTCTGTGATTGATTTAGGATTGCAAGCTGGAGATTCAGCATCGTGAAAGACTCAATACGAGTGGGTGGTCGTAGGTACTCGTACTGTAAAGCTCTGTCCTGAATGACCATAGTGGAAGCCAACGTCATCAGCATCTGGCGCTGAAAGAAATTCAGCTTGCCAGACAGACCAATCAGATCTACCTTTTCAACATCCAAATTCTCTGGCTTTGCATTCAGGTTCACTTTCAGCTCATCAAGTCGTTTTTTCTGGCATTTGTGAAGACTGATACGTTGCTGATTAGCAGATAGATCGGCAACAATTCCTTGGATGGTGCTCTGCGTTTGAAGAAGATCTTTACCGCGTAGGACCATGACGGCAAAAACTGCCGAGAGAGTGTTTTTTGCTTCAATGGCTGGACCGGAAGCTAGGGTGGCCTCGAAGTTGACTTTCATCTCATCCCATTCAAGCGAAGACGGCAACTCTAGTCCACTGAGACCAATATCCTGGAGGGAGTCAACAACCTTTTTAGGATTAGATGGTATGGCCTTAATGGTTCTATACGTCATAATAACAGCATCAAATACTTCTACAGCCTTCTGAATTCTTTGGACCGTCAAACCGAGATCACTAAGAGCTCCGATGGAGGAAGCAGGTGCTGCGAAAGTGAAGCCAAGAGAGAAGAGACTTGAGGCGATGTCAATGGCTGCCTTGATGTTCTGTTCCGTTATCCACCTACCAACAGCTTCCTTGTATTCCTCGATCGCGTCGTTGACAACTACTCGCTGCTCGGATAGTCTGGCACTCAGTTGGTCTGCTCTTTTATTAGCCTTCTCCAGCTCATCCATCTTTTCCTGATATACGCTGGAGAACATGTCTTCCAGGCTTTGTTGATAGCTCGCCTGAGCACCGATGTAGTTTTGAAGAATCTTGCCCGAGTTAACAATGTTTTTGTTTAGGGCTGTGTCTCTCTGCACCTGACGCTCTTCAGCTTTTCTTGCTCTGATCTGCTTCTGGTAATCCATCAACTGACTGGAGGCAGTTCTCAAAACATGCTGGACATTTTCGACAACGTCTTTGTAGGCTTCGTATCGTAAGTACGGCACGGGAACGCCAGCCCCTTGGTCAGCGGCTACCACAGACACAAGATACATTGCTCTTGCCTGCAGTGTAGCCAGCTGGTCATCTTGATACTGGTAATTGCTACCTGCTACTCCAGCAAGCCACAACAAGAACCGCTTCAAAAGCTTCAGGCTTTGACCCTGAGGCACGGCGTTTGAGAGCAGGAAGTTAAGGCGAGCTTCTGCAGCTACTAGAGCAAATTGAATATCAGTCAAGCGCTCGGTGAGAATTGCCACATTGAGAGTCTCACGCACATCACGCACAACTGAGACTTGACCTTTGACTTCTTTGAATATTAAGCCATTCATGATCAGAAAACCTTTAGTATCACTAGAGCTACTGATTTGTAACCCGCCGTAAAACTCACCAAAAAAGAGGCGACTTTTGATCTCTTTTAAAGCAGGATCACTGAGGCGTAGATTTGGAGGTCTAGGGCCAGTCCCTCCAGATGTGATAACGTGTCCAAGAAGGGAAACCGTACTTGAACCGGGAACATGGATGACCGTCTTCTCATTAGAGGAAGTTGCTGGTATCTATAAAGTTAATTGTAGAATTCATTGAATATGTACAAACAAAAATCACCAAATCATATAGATCTCATTAGCAAGCGCAGGAAATATTTATAACTTCAAATAATAACATTTAACGTCGGTTTTATTTTATTTCTGTTTATATTTTTAAGAGCGCAATGGCTTCAAATGAGAGCAGAAATTGCTTTCCGTTTATGTACAAGATGAAATTGCATCTAAAGCTTTGTGTAATGTGCTGATCATGCTACTGGGTTTAACGTACCTGGATCGCATTTGCAAACACGCTGAAAACCTTCACCAACTCTGGAAATTGGAGAGCAATATCACCCAGGTTGAGCTTCTCCTGCCAGATGTTGACGGAGGATGTGGCGAGTGTTGACAGCAGACCATCTCCAACGATAGGGTCTGAGTCCTGGAACATGGAATCCAAGTCGTAAGGACAGTTGTTGGTGAAATAAGGAGCCACACCTACACCGGTAAGGTACTTGGCGTACATGGCTGCTTTGAAGACTCGCCGCCAGATCAGCATTCGGAAGTACTCGGCAAAGACGTCAAGGGATGCTAGCTCGATGGATATCACGACGACCTTCTTGAAGGTTGTGTTGGCATTGATGGCATCAGAGCGGAGAAACGGAGCAAAGATGCTGTTGGTACATGCATACTTCTCATCCTTCCAAAGACCATGTTTTAGAGAGTTCACCATCTCTGGATCTTGGCTGGTTATGCAGATTTTGCCGATGGCTGCGGTGTAACCATACCCACTTCCAGAACGAGGCGTGGTGAACAAAGCAAAGGAGGTAGACTTGGGACCACTCAGATCATTTGGACTTTTCTCGTAAACCCTGACAATATTCTGGTAATCGGTCGAGGCAAAGGCAAAGACTTGGAAGATGGTGTCACCGGTGTCGACGCTGGATACGAAGTGTGAACCGAAGGTCTCATAGAAGTCCAAGTAGCCCTCGGCACCCCGCTTGGACACGTTGGTAGAATTCGCCCGCATCTTCTCCAAGGATTTCAGAGCTGCCAGGGTGTCTGGTTTCAGGATTGTTTCAGGGTATGGATGACCAAACACCCCTCTTTCGTAGCAGGGATGGATGGCTGTGCCTATCTTACGTGTACGGCGGACTAGAGCATAGGACCAGTCCTGCTGTTTGAGATTGACTCCAAGTTGATGGGAAAGCTTTTTCAGCGCCCTGGAGCGAGCTGATGTAGGCCTAGACAGCCCAGCTAGGATAAGAGCTCCAGCAGGCCAAACCCCTGCCATGCCATTCTCATCAGAGACATCTTCAAGAGGTCTGAGCTTGATTTGGAGGACGGCACTCAGCAGGTCCTCAGCCTTGTCATGAAGAGAGATCGTTGGCCAGGACCACTCGGCATCGTAGTCAGGGTTCCTAACGATGACTTGGCCGTCGTTGAGGGCGGGTTTGGAAGACTTGTTGAAGGGCACGGAGTAGATGTCAGCCTTGTATCCAGTCAGAAGGTTGGCCGATTGGCCTAGATATGGCCTCATCACGGTATCCATGTCCATGTCAATTTAAATGATGCACCGACAGCCTGAAAATATAAGCAGTCAAAACAATTTCACTGCTGCAAAAGGTTATTGTTTTTGGAAATCCCGGTGCTGCTCTCTCTCTTTTGTTTATTTGTTTGTTTGTTTTTTTCTTGTTGTTGATGTTTTTTTTTTTTTGGGGGGGGGGGGTTGTTAACCATAACATGATTAACCTTTACCTAAAAGAAGTTAGTACTTTTCCTATTGATGTTTTACTGCAAGGGCCAAGACACCCAAGCTAGGATAAGAGATTCTGCAGACCAGACAGCTGGCAAACTGCTATTCCAAGATATATGAATCTAAAGTAAGGTTACACCTCTATGTTCCGACACCCCTATGTTCCGACTGCACATATTCCTATTCCTAACCCTAACCCTAACCCTAACCGGGAGTAACACAATCTAGGTTGTCGGAACATAGGGGTGTCGGAACATAGAGCAGTCACCTAGAGTAACGTTTGGATAAATATATATTTTCAATTATCATTTACTGTCGCAGATGATCACGGGGCAGCTTTATGTGCATCGTGAGTCGCGAAAGAAAGTCGTGGAGACAGTAACTGAAACAGTAATTTAAAGTAGAACAAAACTGAAGGGAGACAGGAGCAGATAGTTTCAATTCTCAATTTGGTACGAAAAATATTTTAATGAATGATTTCATTTAAGCAAGATAGAATGAATGAATGACAAGCATGAGTTCCCCCACTGGTAAGTATAGACCGTGTAAGTCTCGCACATAAAGGTTACGATTGAATTTCCGGGCTGCGGTGTATTGGACTTTTACGTGTGGTTTATGTTGTTTTCTATAACACTTTGTTTTTACAAAGATCTGAACCATGAAACGGCCACAATTATGGATGATAAATTCAAAATGAATTTGACAATATATGAAAACTTTCATGCTGTCCAAATTATTGAAGAAAGCAGAAAAAACCCTGAGCACCAGGTTGCAACGTGATTGGCTCATTGTCGGGATGGGAAAGCCCGGTCCCCAAAATCCCTGTATATGAAAACATGGGGGGGGGGGGTTGTTACATAAATTATATTTATGTACATAAATTATATGCGACGATCGTCTTACACTGCATAATGGTCTACGCTTTGGAGAGACCGGCGCCGTGAACTAGAACAATGGCGAATGACGTACGTATGACGTATCTACACCTTTTCGCTCTCCTTTTCCCTAATTTGATATATCGTTTACATTTTGTAAACTGAATTGAAAAAATATATGTTTAATTTTTATTTATCTACCTTTCAGTGAAAAGAACGTCGTCAAAACAAAACTATATCAAGAAAACTACTCGCTTTACACTAAGTTATATTTCTCGCAAACTCTCGTACGTTCTCTGGGTCAACTCACACACTCTAGTACAAATAAAACACTATACACTGTAACATGGATATGTTACAGACTTATGTCTATCTTGATGAACAAACTCCTATTGCAAGTTTCTAACTACTTTGAATGTGTAATTCCCAAACAACTCTAATAGTTGAACTTTTACATTTAAAATTCAACTTCTAAAGATCCAAAATCCTTAAATTCCCGGAACGCCGAGGTGTTATGGTATGGCATCAGAATCGCCAATCTACCAAGCAAAATATTCTATGGGGCACAGAAAGCAAATCCAAGTTGAGACATACGACAGCCGTAATATAAAAAAACGACATGAAGCAGTCATTGTGTACGACCATGTGATTCACAGGTGAATGTTAACTACGGATCAAGGTAACAAATTAACTCCAAAGTACTCTTTTCCCCAATCAACACATGAACTGAACACTAATTGTGCAATAGTAAAAGCGACAATAATGTGAAAACATGAAATTTTAATAGAGCAATAGATCCTACAATGTAGCATCTCAAACTTAATTTGGGACATGCACTATTCTTGAAGGTGACTCACACAGCAAAAGCCGATCCAAAAAGGACGGTCGTGCACGTACGCCCATTCCAGGACGACTCATCACACCATATTATTTTAGAGCTTTACTCCCCTTTGTGAACCATTGCTCAATACAGTCTCACCAACAACGACTGGGTATTTTCTCTCATGTAACAATAATCATATTAATATCAGTGAATCATCGGTTGACATGTCCAATCTGGTTTAAATAATTAATTAAATAATTACGTACAATATTCTGGGTACCGCGCGTGACCTTTCAAAAATTCCGATAAACCAAAAAGTGTACACGTTCGTAGCGGGCTCAATTTGTTTCTCAAATGTACTGGGAATGACAGATCCTGTGCGAGCGTCAATTTACACAAAAAAAACATGTAGGTGCTCATAAAACATCGCTGTCTAAACCCGGCTACTACGCATGCGTATGGCATGACGGTTTTAACCGCCATGTTAAGGGTCTTAATACGTAAGTCAGCAAATATTCATGTGAGTCCCAGTGAATTCGACTTAGAGTAGACCTAGTCTGAACATGTGGGACTGTGTATTAGGCCAAAAAAAAAAGTCTCCGGTTTCTGGTATGGAGCTTGTCCAAAAAGTGGTGCGGCGACGCGGCTTTTTTTTTTTACCCGACTTTTTTGCTTCAAATGTCGGCTGATGACTGCAAGTGGTGCCCGACTAAACGTAGTGAAAATATATGGGAGTCCAGATAGGCCACATAAAGCTTACTCTCGATCATAACCCCATCTAAAAACACGTTAAAAATTGTGCAGCAGCAGGATTCCAGTCAAACCAGTGAGTTTGGCGGTTTTGAGACATCATCTTTCATTGAAAAAAACTTTTTTCATTTTGCTGACGCGCATGGCTACGGCGACGCGCGCGCATACCAGAAACCGGAGACTTTTTTTTTTTGGCCTTATCGAGAGTCCCAAAAATCAATGTACCGAAAACATGCAACAAAATAGAATGGCGCATGGAACACCCGGTCCAACACCCCTTTAGTACTGCATCAATCAACCGTGTCAAAAGAAACATCTAGTACCGGTGTCTATTTCTACACATCTCTCCATAGTCTGCCACCAGACTACTAAAGATCAGTCTATTTTTCCAAATATTTGGACTTGTACCCCAGTTTAGTCTCTATAGGATTCACATTGAAATCACTCTCAGATGAAAATATTGAGGAAAACTCTCCTTGAAATTTGATTCGAGACTTCAATTTTGGCTGATGAAATACTTAGGATCTTGTCTTTGCGTCATAAAAATTATGGAAACTCTTGTCTGGTACTAAGTTTGAGGACAGTTTAAATTGGTTTTGCACGTTTTTCTGCACTTAACTATCCGAAGTAGACCCATGAATGTGGTCGGAAGATTTGCAACAAGTAACCATATTAACCATCTGACGAAAATTTAGAATTATCAGATGCAGACTGGAGTTGATGATTTAACCCAGCAGTACAGATCATACCAGAAGGGCTGAAATTGATATTAAATTTTCCAACCAAACAATGGACTAATGACTAATGAGTTAGATGCTGGCTTAAACATTTTCCGATATGATTTACCTGCAAGTGCAACACAGCCAAAATTTGCCTCAAAACATACCCACACTACCAGAAATAGGCCACCTCCGGATCCAATACAGATCGAATGTTTAAGATGATAGTTCTAAGGTAGCTCTACAAAAAGGGCTGTAATTTGGCTCTCTTTTAACATCTAATTACTGTCGCCATTACAGCCCTGCTGCTACCCCGGCTAAAAAAAAGCAAGATGTCGCTTCACCAGTAGTTGTCTTTCGAATTGGATTCCAAATATCTCCCGAAATACATATCGCTGAACACGTTTATATACACCATCGTATTCCTGAGCGTCGAGTTATTCGTACATTATATAATAAACATGTCTAAAAATATCGTACATTGACAGGCCTACATGCATTTTGTTTTGAAAGCAATAAGAATATTCAAGCATGTTGTGACTGGCTCGCCGCCATGTCAAATTACAGCCCAGTGCGTAGGGCTTAAATAAATAAGGTAACTTACGATTCGGAATGAATGTGAAAATGTGCCGTTCTTTTCGAGAGCTCATCTCGCCTTCGTGACGTGGACACGTTAAACTCCCGATTCGTTTAAATGGCGCACAGTGATCGTCCATGCTCTGATGTGACACGGAAGTATAAGTGCCCAACGGTAATCGCGGACAGCTTCTTCATGGTCGCTCGGAAATTATGAGGGTGGGAACCAGTTCATGCATATAGGCTGCTTCCGACTCTCCACTATCATTCGGAATGCATTTGTATTTACAAGCGGGGACCAGTCTTTATATGACCCTACCTAGGGTGCGTTCGATTAGCTTCCACGTGTGTACACCGGGTTGACATTCGAGGAAACCACAAAATGAGGCTAATCGAAAGCTGCGTTGTATTCGCTTGGCTTCCAGGAAAATTAAAGGGGAATTACAGCCTGAAATCCCCGAAAGTTTCATGTTTTGGATTGCACTTATCTTATTACAAAGGTCTGATTGAAAGGAGAAACAAACGTTATGTCTTACCGTTCCCGAAAAAAGACAAACAAAAAATCGGTTGTGGACTTGTGTGGCATACAAAGTCGTGTACATTCAATGCACCGTACACGTTGTGCGCGTGGTACCAATACACAAATGTTGTTTCTTACACGTCCGCAGAGTGCGAAACACTATGTGGCTGGATCACAACTATCACTGAGCTCTATTTTTCGGAGACAAAATTGTGACCCCCAAAATATTCGTTGTTGTATGGTTCTCGCAAAAATAACAAACAAAATCCCAGTTTGTAAAGGATGGTAGTGTGGACCTATATTCTACTTTTAAATGTTCTTTCTACTTAATATAACCTTGTTTAGCACATGGTTTGTAGCACAATTGGGTACATTTCAGGCCGCAATGTCCCTTTAAGGTCAAGGGTCGTTGAGCGACGGTACTTAAAATGTAATTACGCATCAGTCTGCTCCATCTCGATCATTGGTCTGAATTATGTCCGTCCAAGTTATCATGTTAACGGAGATTCCATCACGTTTGAGTTATGAAGCTCTGCATAGTTTTCACTCGCTGTGGTTATCGGAACGGTGAACACACACTGATTATTATCTGCCGTTTATTTCTTAGTATTTCTGAACAGACGAGGCGGTTACGATATCCACAGTTCATTTTGTATGTACACAGTTGAAAAAAAAATGCAACAGTCAAGGAGAATGTTATTCACAGTAGCTTATATCTGTACATGTGTACACAGTTTAGTTCACAAAGTTCACGGATTTCAATGACTTCCAGAAGCTTTGTTCAATATTCTCGTATAATGATCAAATGATGTCAGGCAACATGATAAAGGTAAAATAAAGGAACAAAATCAGGTAAGAGATGGATGTCAGCTTCCACTGTACCAGAAAACACTAGCTGGTTTTTCTTATTTGCGGAAAAAACCTTTCTTTCTCTTCTGATTTTTGGCTTTTCCGCAAAAAGTGTACACGTTCGTAGCGGGCTCAATTTGTTTCTCAAATGTACTGGGAATGACAGATCCTGTGCGAGCGTCAATTTACACACAAAACATGTAGGTGCTCATAAAACATCGCTGTCTAAACCCGGCTACTACGCATGCGTATGGCATGACGGTTTTAACCGCCATGTTAAGGGTCTTAATACGTAAGTCAGCAAATATTCATGTGAGTCCCAGTGAATTCGACTTAGAGCAGACCTAGTCTGAAAATGTGGGACTGTGTATTATCGAGAGTCTTAAAAATCAATGTACCGAAAACATGCAACAAAATAGAATGGCGCATGAAACAACCGGTCCAACACCCCTTTAGTACTGCATCAATCAACTGTGTCAAAAGAAACATCTAGTACCGGTGTCTATTTCTACACATCTCTCCATAGTCTGCCACCAGACTACTAAAGATCAGTCTTTTTTTCCAAATAGTTGGACTTGTACCCCAGTCTAGTCTCTATAGGATTCAAATTGAAATCACTCTCAGATGAAAAATATTGAAGAAAACTCTCCTTGAAATTTGATTCGCGACTTCAATTTTGGCTGATGAAATACTTAGGATCTTGTCTTTGCGTCATAAAAATTATGGAAACTCTTGTCTGGTACTAAGTTTGAGGACAGTTTAAATTGGTTTTGCACGTTTTTCTGCACTTAACTATCCGAAGTAGACCCATGAATGTGGTCGGAAGATTTGCAACAAGTAACCATATTAACCATCTGACGAAAATTTAGAATTATCAGATGCAGACTGGAGTTGATGATTTAACCCAGCAGTACAGATCATACCAGAAGGGCTGAAATTGATATTAAATTTTTCAACCAAACAATGGACTAATGACTAATGAGTTAGATGCTGGCTTAAACATTTTCCGATATGATTTACCTGCAAGTGCAACACAGCCAAAATTTGCCTCAAAACATACCCACACTACCAGAAATAGGCCACCTCCGGATCCAATACAGATCGAATGTTTAAGATGATAGTTCTAAGGTAGCTCTACAAAAAGGGCTGTAATTTGGCTCTCTTTTAACATCTAATTACTGTCGCCATTACAGCCCTGCTGCTACCCCGGCTAAAAAAAAGCAAGATGTCGCTTCACCAGTAGTTGTCTTTCGAATTGGATTCCAAATATCTCCCGAAATACATATCGCTGAACACGTTTATATACACCATCGTATTCCTGAGCGTCGAGTTATTCGTACATTATATAATAAACATGTCTAAAAATATCGTACATTGACAGGCCTACATGCATTTTGTTTTGAAAGCAATAAGAATATTCAAGCATGTTGTGACTGGCTCGCCGCCATGTCAAATTACAGCCCAGTGCGTAGGGCTTAAATAAATAAGGTAACTTACGATTCGGAATGAATGTGAAAATGTGCCGTTCTTTTCGAGAGCTCATCTCGCCTTTGTGACGTGGACACGTTAAACTCCCGATTCGTTTAAATGGCGCACAGTGATCGTCCATGCGCTGATGTTACACGGAAGTATAAGTGCCCAACGGTAATCGCGGACAGCTTCTTCATGGTCGCTCGGAAATTATGAGGGTGGGAACCAGTTCATACATATAGGCTGCTTCCGACTCTCCACTATCATTCGGAATGCATTTGTATTTACAAGCGGGGACCAGTCTTTATATGACCCTACCTAGGGTGCGTTCGATTAGCTTCCACGTGTGTACACCGGGTTGACATTCGAGGAAACCACAAAATGAGGCTAATCGAAAGCTGCGTTGTATTCGCTTGGCTTCCAGGAAAATTAAAGGGCAATTACAGCCTGAAATCCCCGAAAGTTTCATGTTTTGGATTGCACTTATCTTATTACAAAGGTCTGATTGAAAGGAGAAACAAACGTTATGTCTTACCGTTCCCGAAAAAAGACAAACAAAAAATCGGTTGTGGACTTGTGTGGCATACAAAGTCGTGTACATTCAATGCACCGTACACGTTGTGCGCGTGGTACCAATACACAAATGTTGTTTCTTACACGTCCGCAGAGTGCGAAACACTATGTGGCTGGATCACAACTATCACTGAGCTCTATTTTTCGGAGACAAAATTGTGACCCCCAAAATATTCGTTGTTGTATGGTTCTCGCAAAAATAACCAACAAAATCCCAGTTTGTAAAGGATGGTAGTGTGGACCTATATTCTACTTTTAAATGTTCTTTCTACTTAATATAACCTTGTTTAGCACATGGTTTGTAGCACAATTGGGTACATTTCAGGCCGCAATGTCCCTTTAAGGTCAAGGGTCGTTGAGCGACGGTACTTAAAATGTAATTACGCATCAGTCTGCTCCATCTCGGTCATTGCTCCGATTTATGTCTGTCCAAGTTATCATGTTAACGGAGATTCCATCACGTTTGAGTTGTAAATCTCTACACAGTTTTCACTCGCTGTGGTTATAGGAACGGTGAGCACACACTGATTATTATCTGCCGTTTATTTCTTAGTATTTCTGAACAGACGAGGCGGTTACGATATCCACAGTTCATTTTGTATGTACAAAGTAAAAAAAAAATGCAACAGTCAAGGAGAATGTTATTCACAGTAGCTTATATCTGTACATGTGCACACAGTTTAGTTCACAAAGTTCACGGATTTCAATGACTTCCAGAAGCTTTGTTCAATATTCTCGTATAATGATCAAATGATGTCAGGCAACATGATGAAGGTAAAATAAAGGAACAAAATCAGGTAAGAGATGGATGTCAGCTTCCACCGTACCAGAAAACACTAGTTGGTTTTTCTTATTTGCGGAAAAACCTTTCTTTCTCTTCTGATTTTTGGCTTTTCCGCATAGTTGCAGAAAAAACATAATCTGAAATAACGTCACGATGACGTCATCGGCCGATTTCAAATGAATTTAAAGATCTTATTCTACATACAGAATTTGAGGGTATTTGATCAGATATCGACTCCAAACGCGGCTCAGACCAAGACCACACAGCAAATGTGTGCATTGAGGCAAGTGTCGTCATGATGACGTCATCACGTGTTATTTGACGTCATCATTTTTCAATGGCTTATTCATACAGAACCAAAATACCGATTGGCTGTCAACTTCGCCTGCACAATAGTCTACAATTTGTTTAAATGAAAACAGATTTTTTTTCTGGCTCAAGTTCTTTTTCTTTGCAACGGCTGTTTCGGCAAGCGGTAAAAACAAACATGAAACAGCCATCAAATTGGTAGTTTTGATGCGTCTTGCTTAAGATGGGTTTAGTCATAGGACGCATCTTAACTAAAATCGATCTTAGAGCGGGGACTCGTCTCAAGTCCTAAATATGAGTCGCAAGGATAAGACGAGTTTCGTGAAATCAGCCATTGCACTGGATTGAAATTTCGCCTGGTGATTGGTCATGACTGGTAAAACAAGCCCATGAAGTTTTAAAGACAATCAAATGTTGTCGTCACCGTAAAGTAATTTTTGTCCTCACAGACTGTGACTTCATTTAGGTTTTTTTTTCCCGTGATGATGATACATATAGTACTCACCTGTTGAATTAAACAAACACAAAAACAAACATGGCAAAAGGATGCTCGCATATTATAGGCCCTTGCTGTGCAAGGTGATAATCCATAGTACAGTTAACTAGCTGCGCCAGAGTCAAATCCGGTCACGTGGAATTCACAGGTTGTGTCCGGGTTGAATGATCGAGCAAGAACAAGCTGGGGTCATTGTCAACAGCCAGCCAACCTCAATCCAGTGCCTACTTACATCCTCCTGACCCTGGTAGGAAACGTACGTCCTGCTTTCTTATTCCATCCCGTAATTGCAAACGGATATAATATATCACGTACTTGGTGATCTGAACGTGTATTGTATGTGTTTTGAATTATGACGTCCAACCTAATTCAAGAAACAATCCCCCCTTTCCCATTTTGCTTATTATCACATTGAGTGATATATACCGCAGGCAGCATTGGTAAGATTTCAAACTTTGAAGAAAAAACAAATGTGTTTTCTGATCTCTCGCTACGAGGAATTGATCCGTCCGTACCCTGAACACCTCAACCACAAAGTTGATTTGAAAATCATGGCCAGGCACCAGACTTTTCCCTTACCGTAGTCACAATGTGCACGTAGTCATTAGTGTGCTGAGCAGTGCCACGAAATAGGTCCCTGGGTGGGAGAACAGCTAGCGGGAGCGAATTATTCAACGCCGTGGGGACGAGGATGTGTAGCCAGCATGGTGCGAGCCATTTTTTTTTTTTTTTTTTTTTTTACATCTCTGGGCCTTTCCACTTTTGTAAGCAATACCTCTGACATTCTTATGCATGTAAGGAAACTAGGAAAGGCTGGAAATTTCAAATTGATCAAACTTTAGTGAGAACCGGATCGCAAAAACATAGAGTTACATGTATGGAAATTTATGAATGATATTGGAAGTATCTGATATCATCTGCATAGTCCAATCCCACCAGTAAGATATCACTGTACACTCACGAGATTATCTTCAACGGCACAAGCATTATTGTGCCAGCTACTGGGTATATATATATTGGTAAGACAATCCGTTGGGGGGGGGGGGGAGTTGCTTAATTTGTAGGTAACAGTGCGCTAGGGATGGTCAAAACTTGGGTTGGTTATTGATGTTGCGGTGAAGCCACTAATCACGGGTCGCCTCTTCAGCAGGCCTTGCCGTTTTTTATAGGTATGACATGACAAACTCCAACACCTACTTTCTTTCGATCTCCGAAATTTATTGTTCCCCAGAAGACAAGGAAGTGCAAACCCAGATAAAACTGGTATAACATCAGTGAGACCTCTAGAAGAGTAAGACTCAACTAAGACCCTGAAAAATTATAATTAGTAACGAGAGCACCATTACACACAATTTTCTGTGACATTTTCAGATCTAAGATTTACATTTTAAATAATTAATTACACGAAGACACCGACCCCAGTATCAGTTCTTTAATTAAGGATACAGATATAGCTGTCTTTCCAAAGCTTGTAAAGCAGAAGCTCAGACCGTCAGCCACCATGCATGTTACGTGCGTGCTTTGCGTGCAGTTCACGAGCTGACAATGGCTCACGTCTGCTCACGGCCCTATTGTATACAATTGTATACATTTGTGCAACCAAAGTGTATGGAGTGCACATTCCAACAAAATAAGTATCGAGCGCCTGGATTATTTTTTCCGATTCACATTGATATCTGTAAATTCGTCAATTTACTTTCCCTTAGCCATTTTGAAGTATGGTGGGCACAATAAGAAGGAGCGATTTATTATGTCGAAATAGCGCTCTCCTATTGTGTCCGACTATAGCGCCATCTTTTTGTGTCCACCATATCTCAAATCTCTATTATAAGCCGGTGTCATATGAAAAATTGGACTTCTATGAAACATATTCTATTTACCCTATAGCCTCAAAACCTCACACGTGACCTTTCACTGTTCCTATTTTTCACTATGACGTGCAATACAGGGCGAGTCAAAACGAAAGTTACCCAATTTGAAAAATATTTTAAAACATATTCGGCTTGCTCCATTTTACAAACACAAAAAAGGATCAAGTACATCTTATTGGCTTCTAACTGTGAACACTTCACGAAATTGTCATACTCTATTCCCAAGTTATGTCTTTTTCAATAAAAAAACCCCCATAAAACTCGGCTGCCCACCGCTGATCATTTACCGTTCTACGAACCGATGCATGCCTATTATGAGTACAATGAAACATGGACGTTTAATCTGTAATATTCACCCAGCTCAATAGCTTTTAATGGCATTCCATGGACAGCTATTAGTAAAAGGTTGATAACTCCTGATAGTATGGATCAATATCAGTGTTTTTTTTTGGAGACGAGTGAAAGACGATGCTTTTTTTCAGAAATAAATAATTGTTGTTTCAAATTGGATTGCTTTTTAAGATACAAAACTTATGAAAAATAATTAATTTGGGCAACTTTTTTTGACTCACCCTGTACAACCAATGAGTCTCGGTACTTTGGATTTTAGAGTTTTATAATTTTACCATACTCTCTTTTTGCAAACAAAATCCTAAATCAAGTGTTGAAAATACTCAAAATTAATTTTTTGATATTCCATCAGTATTCGCCAAAACACTTGGAATAAATTAAAAGAAAAAGATATATCATGGAATTAATCTTAATTGTAGAACGTGCCGACTCTTTTTTTTTCATTCTTTTTAAAGAAAAGTAGACATTTCAGTCTATTCTAATGATGCTTTTTCTCATAAGGTTAATTGTACTACCCTTGCCAAGGTAATGACATAAACGATTTTTGTTTAACATTTAGTAAGAAAATAGCTCTCATTCTGTATACAGCAAAAACTCGAATACTACAGTTCCCGTTACGTAATTATTGTTTTTAACATCACTTCAATCAAAAGAACAGTTTTGAATTATACTCATGCTTCGAAAATGCATAAGGGAAAAAAAGTGGTATCACAAATGTACTATTACATACAAACTGATAGCTCTATGACTACTACTTACATAATAATGAATGGCTATGACAATATTGCACAAGTCGAAGACGAGTAAAATATTGTCATAGGAAGTGCAATATATTCTTGTATCCCCCGGGAAAAAATGCCATCTGATATCATTATTTGTATTCATATAAGCTAGGCTGACTTGATTCGCAAGAAATACATTTCAAGACACTGTCTTCATTTCTCCTATTTGTCAAACTATTTGAAGCTGCAACTGTGATTATTGACATAAGTGCGCGTATATCTGGCCTGCTGCGCGCTGCGCGCTGCGCGCTGATGATTGGTTGACTGTCTCAACTACGCTCTTGCTCGTGCGGGAACCATCAAAAATGCCTGGGTGAAGGCATGCCGGACATTTTCAAAAGTAATATTGCCGCAATCCGTGTACTTTTACTGACAATATTGCTGTCATCCAGGTTCGTTTTACAAATCATACAATACGGTGATTTATTTTTACCGCTGAAAGCCTGATATAATTAAATACTATATTTATATATATTATTATAATTTATACAACACCTGAATAAATCCCCGTCATCTGATTGGTGAATTGTAGATCACGTGACATATTATTATTCGGTATAATTCACGGTGCGACCATGCGTTATACCCATGCGTTATACCGTTTCACTTTGCGCTTGTTCCATGACGCAGTATTTGCGTGCAAAATGCATGCTGGTGTGCGCGTTCAGCGTAGCGCGTATTGTTCCAAAGAGCCAGCGCTACAGCGTTGGGTTCAAACATTTTCGTGAAGGGGTAGTTCAACATTTTTAAAATCAAAATAAATTGTAGTTTATAATTTACCAATCAAATGACGAGAATTTATTCAGGTGTTGTATAAAACAAATAACGAATGTTTTACGTTCGTGCGATGGAAAGAATAATTTCATTCGGTGACAGATTGAATGTTCTATTCCTCTCGGCTTCGCCTCGTGGAATAGAACATTCAATCTGTCACCTCATGAAATTATTCTTACCATTGCACACACAAACATTCGTTATTTGTATAATATATAAAAATATATAATTATAATTCAACTATAGTGATGTGTTATTTATGCCTTACGATATTCAGTGTCACATTAAATGCTCTGTCATAATCACCATGAAATGTCAAGAAATACTTCTACAGAGAAAACAAACCTTAACTTGTTCCAGATAAAGTACACACAAAAAGTAAACACCACCTATTTTAAGATCATAATCATACAAAATGCGACCTTTAAAATCCTGCTAACTGCTTTACCTATCAACCCCCCCCCCTCAAAAAAATCGAACAAGGTACTTAAAAAGCATGAAAATATCAAGAAAGTGCAAACTGTTTGTAGTTTTTGTAGGATTGTCCCTTCCTAAAATGATTACATCCTAAAACGGAAGCGTCTGGATAGCAAAAGATTGATAAATGGTTTTGCAAGTATGGACTGTGGGGTAAAGTAAACTCACTGAGCACAGTACAGACACTAGTTTCAACATGGTAAGCAGCTGCCAATTAACAACCTCTCTCTAAACCGGAGTGAAATTTCCGAAGATAATCAAGTCACCTGGCACCGCTCCTTCCTCCATTGTGATCAAATTCTTTGCCGGGAACAACAGATTCTTCAGGGCAAAGAGAGACACAGTGTCAAATGACTTGTTGAAGACACCCACCAGCTCTGTAGGCAAAGACTTCTGCAGATTTGAGAGGAACTTCTTCTGCAAGTCTCTGTCATTGCACTCACAGGCTCCGCCGGGTGGTTTGAGGTTACCTGTCAAGCTTACACTGGACTCAGTGGCAGCGAATCCTATGGATTGATTCTGACCGTCACCTGTAACACTTAGTGGTAAAGTGGTTCCCATATCAATCGTCACACCAAGAGAATGGTTACTGTAGCTGATTTTGCTCCATTTGCCACAACCAAACAGACCACAATTCTTTGATCTGTCCCCATATTTGAAGGAGTATTTCCTGCTGCCTGGGGAGTACACCATCTTGGCATCCCAACCTGACGTCTCGTCTCCTGGGAGGAACTGCATTCCGGTGAGATCGACAACTGCCGTGTCGTTGCCGACTTTGACGTAGTATTCGGACTTAGTGGTCGAAAATTCATTGCTTGTGGTGTTGGAACCAACCTTGGTAACAGGAAAAGGCGCTGACACTGAACCGCTTGTTGCTTCAGCGGACCAGGCAGTGTTAGTATTAGCATCGTCTGATGGCTCGATACCTTCTAAGGTGAGGCCAATACCACCATCGCCAAGAGAAGTTGGCACCACATCCTGGAAGAAGATCTTAGAGTTGATGATCAAGGAGCTATCATACGTTGATGGAATGGGCTCTTGGATATACAGCGATGTTGCTGACTGTAGTCTGCCAGTAGTGGCTATGAAGAGCTGAAGAAGATCCCGGTTGCTAGGAGTATGGTAAACATTGAACAGGAAGTCCTTGGGGTTTAGAGAATCCAGGATCGTAATTCCTCTCAGATCAAGAGTGCCGAGGTTGTACACCTCGTAGCCGTCCTTAAGGCTGGTGAAGTAGTTGGTCAGAGCAAATCCAAAAGTTGGATTGGTGTTGCCAGCTTCAAAATTGCGGGCAGAGAAAGATCCACCCTTGAGCTTGATAGCAACGTTGTGTTGTGTGGAGACTGATCCTGGAACGATCGACAGAAGAACATCTCCTTGGATGAAAGCCCCATCAGACTTCTTCACCTCAGCCTTCTCCAGTTCAATCCAGGTGTCGTTGACTAACACAGAGTACTCATAGGTCCCAGATATGATTGGCATAAAAACCTGAGCAGAATTGGAGTTATTCAAGAGAAACTGGAGCCGAGGAGCATTGAAGGTGAAATTGAACACCGTCTTCAGTGTCTTGCCCTCCGATGTCTGGACTTCGTTTTCAAATTTGCCGGTTTCCCTAATAAAGACTGGATTGTCTAAGCGATTGGTATACTGCCCGTATAACTGGTCATTCACCTGTTCAGCTGTCATAGAGAACACTGCATCCCAGCCAGCACAGACAGATGTTCCTTTCATGGCAAGAAGGACGTCATTACGAGACACGGATGTTGTTGTTGCAGAGCCATCGGACGCCAAGGAACGTGCCATGGATGGTTTGGCTGTAAGAGCTATCGGTGCTACTGTCTTAGTGACCACTCCTTCACTTTTGCCGCCAAGCTTGACACTTCGGAGCTTCTTGGTTTTACTCTTAGAAGCGGGTTTGACGTAATCTTCACGAGTAAGAAGACGCCGAGCTGTAAAGTTCATCTCCGAGGGAGTCACGGTAGATTCCTTCAACTGGGCATAGATGCGGAAGATAAGACGGACGGTCACACCTCGAGAATAATCGTCAAACTCGATACCTTCGTTACTCTGAGTCTTGGGCAGTGAAACCTGCCAGCTTGAGAACGGAGTGATGCTGGAAGTTTTAGCACCGAATGGATCTTGGCCAGTTGTTGCTAGTACAGCTTCTGGGTTCTGAACGACATTTCCGTCATCATATACCACATGACTGCTGGTGCTTACGTCGTGAAGACCGGTGAAGATCCGTGAGGTCGTCTGGAACTCCAAGGGTTGACCATCAAAGCCACGGTCAAAGAACGGATTTCCATTGAACACTAGCTCCGTGTAATACTTGCCACTTTTAGTTGAAGTTATGCCACCAATCTCGACGTGGATACCCTCTATGCGGACGTAGTTGTACGAGGAAAACTCACGTTTGTTAAGGCTGATGTTGAAAGTGTAGCGCTGGTTGTTAGTGATGCTTTCTGGTCTGACGCCGTGAATTTCATAGATGATCGGATGCTTCTGGCTTTTTGGTTGAGGCTGAACTGTCAGACCCTGATTGATACTCTGAGATTGATTCAGAATGGCTAGCTGCAGGTTCAGCATCGTGAAGGACCCAATAGGAGTGGGTGGTCGTAAGTACTCGTAATGTAAAGCTCTGTCCTGAATAACTACAGTGGAAGCCAACGTCATCAGCATCTGGCGCTCAAAGAAAATCAACTGACCAGACAGCCCAATCAGATCAACCTTCTCGACATTCAGATCCTCCGGCTTTGCATTCAGGTTGATTTTCAGCTCATCTAGTCGTTTCTTCTGGTCTTCGTGGAGACTGATTCGTTGCTGAGCAGCCGAAAGATCAGCAACGATCCCTTGAATTTTTCCCTGCGTTTGAAGAAGTGCTTTGCCTCTTAATACCAGTACACCAAAAGCTGCTGAGAGAGTGTTCTTAACTCCTATGGCTGGACCAGAAGCCAGGGTGGCACTGAAGTTGACTTTCATCTCATCCCACTCGAGCGAAGACGGCATATCTAGACCACTAGGACCCAGGTCCGCCAGGGAATCGACCACCTTTTTTGGATTAGAAGGTACAGCCTTTATGGCTCTGTACGTCTTGATAACAGCATCAAAGACTTTAACAGCCTTTTGAATTCTCTGGACCGTCAAACCGAGATCAGCAAGAGCCTTGATCGAGGATGCAGGCGCAGCAAATGCGAAGCCGAGAGAGAAGAGACTCGAAGCGATGTCAATGGCTGCCTTGATGGTCTGCTCCTCTATATATTCAGCAACAGCGTCTTTGTATTCCTCAATGGCGTCGTTGACAACTACTCGCTGCTCGGTTAGACTGGCACTCAGTTGGTCTGCTCGTTTATTGGCCTTCTCCAGCTCATCCATCTTTTCCTGAAAGACGCTGGAGAACATGTCTTCCAGGCTTTGTTGATAGCTCGCCTGAGCACCGATGTAATCTTGAAGAAGCTTGCCCGAGTTGACGATGTTTTCGTTCAGAGCTGTGTCTCTCTGCACCTGGCGCTCTTCAGCTTTTCTTACCCTGATCTGGTTCTGGTAGTCCGTCAGGTGATCGGATGCTGTTCTCAAAGCATTCTGGACATTTTCGACTACGTCTTTGTAGGCTTCGTATCGTAAGTACGGCACGGGAACGCCAGCCCCTTGGTCAGCGGCCACCACAGATGCAAGATACATTGCTCTTGCCTGAAGTGTAGCCAACTGGTCATCTTGATACTGGTAATTGCTACCTGCTACTCCAGCAAGCCACAACAAGAACCGCTTCAAAAGCTCAAGGCTTTGACCCTGAGACGCGGCGTTTGAGAGCAAGAAGTTAAGGCGAGCTTCTGCCGCTACTAGAGCAAATTGAATATCAGTCAACCGCTCGGTGAGTATTGCCATATTTGGAGTCTCACGCACATCACACACAACCGAGACTTGACCTTTGACTTCTTGGAACATTAAGCCATTCATAATCACAACACCTTTACTGTCACTAGAGCTACTTATTTGTAACCCGCCGTAAAACTCACCACAAAAGAGGCGGCTTTTAATCTCTTTCAAAGCGGGGTCACTCAGGCGTAGATTTGGAGGAGTAGGGCCTGTCCGTCCAGATGTGATAACGTGCCCTAGAAGGGACACCGTATTGGAACCAGGAATATCGATGGTCGTTTTCTCATGGGAGGAAGTGACTGGCATCTAAAAAATAAATTAAATAACAAAACAAAAAAACATTATATAAAACAAGAAATCACTAAATCAAACAAAAAATACTGCAGCAATACTGATTTTATCGTTGAATATGTGATCGACAATCGGCGACTAACGTGTCAATTCTTAGTTCGGAAAGAAATGGGCAAAAGGGTTTCGATAACAGTACGATGTTCTAAATATTTTTTAAGTTGTTGTAAAGACAAGCATCCAAAGCTCAAAAATGAGGGAAATTCTACTTTGAAATGTAACTTTAGGGCTTGAACATAACTTTTACAGTAATTTAGTTTAATAGTTGGCTCAATAAGCCATGAGCTTCAAAGAAGAGCAGAACATGCTGTTCATTTATGTGCAAGATAAAATGCATCTTAACCTTTTCCTAAGATAATGATCATGCCACTAGGTTTATGAACGTACCTGGATCGCATTTGCAAACACGCTGAAAACTTTCACCAACTCCGGAAACTGAAGAACGATATCACCCAAGTTGAGCTTCTCCTGCCAGATGTTGACTGAGGGTGTGGCGAGTGTTGACAGCAGACCATCTCCGCCGATAGAGTCCGAGTCCTGGAACACGGAATCCAAGTCGTAGGGACAGTTGTTGGTGAAATAAGGAGCCACGCCCACACCGGTGAGGTACTTGGCGTACATGGCTGCTTTGAAGACTCGCCGCCAGATCAGCATTCGGTAGTACTCGGCAAAGACGTCAAGGGATGCTAGCTCGATGGATATCACAACGACCTTCTTGAAGGTTGTGTTGACATCGACAGCATCGGAGCGGAGAAATGGAGCAAAGATGCTGTCTGTGCCCGCAAACTTATTATCTTTCCAAAGTCCATCTTTCAGGGATTTCTCCATCTCTGGATCTTGGCTGGTAATGCAGATGTTGCCGATGGCTGCGGTGCGACCATACCCACTTCCAGAACGAGGCGTGGTGAACAAAGCAAAGGAGGTAGACTTGGGACCACTCAGATCATTTGGACTTTTTTCGTAAACTCTGACGACATTCTGGTAATTGGTTGAGGCAAAGGCAAAGACTTGGAAGATGGTGTCACCTGTGTCGACGCTGGATACGAAGTGTGAGCCGTAGGTGTCATAGAAATCCAAGTAGCCTTCGGCACCCCGCTTGGACACGTTGGTAGAATTCGCCTGCATCTTTTCCAAGGATTTCAGAGCTGCCAGGGTGTCTGGTTTCAAGATGGTGTCAGGGTCGGGATGACCAAACACACCTCTCTCATAGCAGGGATGGATCGCTGTGCCTATCTTACGTGTACGGCGGACCAGAGCATAGGACCAGTCCTTGTCAAGATCGACTCCAAGTTGACCAGACAGCTTTTTGAGAGCCTCAGAACGAGATGAGGCAGACAACCCAGCTACGATAAGAGCTCCTGCTGGCCAGATACCTGCCACGCCATTCTCTTCTGAAACATCTTCAAGAGGTCTGAGCTTGATCTGAAAGACAGCACTCAGCAGGTTTTCTGCGTCATCATGAAGAGAGATCGTCGGCCAGGACCACTCGGCATCGTAGTCAGGGTTCTTGACGATGACTTGGCCGTCGTTGAGGGCGGGTTTGGAAGACTTGTTGAAGGGCACGGAGTAGATATCAGCCTTGTATCCAGTGAGAAGGCTGGCCGACTCGCCTAGTCTAATTTCGGTATCCATGCTGAAGTCACAGATGATGCACTGACAACCTGAAAATAAAAGCAAGGAAACAATTTAACTTTTGAATAGCGTAACCACGAGGGCAAACCAAATATTTATGACAAGGAGATATTGAAATAAAAATCTGAATCTAAATTGAAAATGTTACTGTTAATGCATATGGTGGAGGACTAAGCATTATTTTACTGCTATCCATAGCTACGTTTTTGTAATCGAGAAGGGTCCCGAGTAAAACCAGCTGACGTAACTAAGAAGGGGGAAAGGGACGGGACGGGGGCGCACATTCCCCAACCAAGCGGATGTCCTTTCCCCCACCTACCCAGCTCACCCCTTTTGACTCTTGAATTGAAAACAAATACGGTACTGTTGCAATGATATGTTTCATTTGCCTCAAAGTGCACCCCGGAAATGGAAGCAGCGCCTTGTGCCCTCCAGAAGATTGACCCTACAATCCTGGCCAAATCTCGCCGGACCCCAACCCTCCGGCCCCCACTCAATGTTGTCTTTCATTGCGCGGTGTGTGCTCCATCAGCTGGAGAGGACAACATTTACCGGGGGAGCGGGGGAGTGGGTGACCGTGACAGGCTCAGGAAGTGTCCCAACCATTTTGGCCGGGATTGTAGCTACGCTGCCAAGTAAAACTGCTATTGTTTATGGCTCTACACCGTGTATTGGGACGTTGGAAGGTCAATTGTATTGGTGAGGGTTAACAGTTCTTGAAAAGGTTACATCCGGAAATGTCGACAGTTTTCTTTGGCCTCCGTACAATCAAAGAGTGGCTTGGGGAGGAGGGGGGGGGGGGGCTGGTACCACCTTCCAATGATCATTCTTCTTGGATGATGATCTTCCAAGAATGTATAGAGCCTTTCAAGGCGACACGCTCGCGAAATTCACAATAACCACTCGTAACGGCCGCTGGTACATAAAAGGTTCTTTGTTTCAAAGAGGCGCTTGTTTAAAAAAAAATGGCACTTGTTAGTCAAAAGAGCAGTCGTTACAACATAATACTTTTTATGGGAGGGGAAGGGTAAGTTACCCCTCCCCCTGCTGGCCACGCCCACGGTGTGCAAACAACAACAACAACAATAACAACAAAAAACAACCAAAGCCCTTGCAACGAATTGCCCGCTTTCAAGTGACGTTAGTCTGGAACCAGTTTTCGACCGTCTTCCAATTGGGCCGCTGCTCAAAAACCAACGATTTTGCACACTAACGGAAATAATGGCGCTTTTCAATTTCAGGGCGACAACACCCCCTTTTGGCGGCCACGCCCACGGTGTACAAAGGAAAAACAAAACCTTACAACACGATGCACGACTTCAAGTGACCTTAGTCTGAAACCAGTTTGCGATCAAAACGTATGCGAATAGCCTTGCAAGTAAAATAAGCTATATGACCTCAATACACAAATGCACGCACCCAGCCAACTCACACATTGTGACAAGGTCAAAGTGATCGATTATTGGTATGTAAGAAAACTATATAAAGCTTTGTATGGTGTACATTCACCACGTAACTGGTGACTTGGTATTGTGCCTTGTTGTCTCAAATACCGTGTATGTATTGTATACCTAGTCGCATAATATTTTGTGACCATCAAAATTATAAAAACGATACGCTTAAAGTTAGACGCATCCTGGTCACAAACGTGTCAAGGATCTTGGCAGCATAAACACGCAGACTTCCAGCATAATTGGCATTGTTCGCATAAGTATACAAACTGCCACGTCGAACACCAGTGCTGGCGCTGGCATGGGCGTCGCCAGGAACTTTCTAGACGGGGCAAAGCACATGATTTCCTAAAATTCTTGTTCTTTTTTCAGCATGTTCTCCATTTAGTAATATTTCCAGGGTGGGCGGAGGGACATTTGCCAATTGCACCCCTTTAACCCTAAAGGTGCCTGATTATTTTGACCATCTCTCAGCCGGGGGGGGGGGGGGGGGCGCCGCCCCCTAAGATCTCGGCTATCGAGATCTTAGGGGGCGGCGTGGTTCACACATAGAACTAGGCCTACTTATCATGAAAATACCCGAGAAATTTCACGACTATAGGTGAAAGGGTTTGGGAATTACATGGCTAATTAATTATTCATATGGACGAATGGTAATTTTGCTCTGTGTACACTGGGGAAATTCAATTTAAGGCGCATAGCACTGGTCCGATTTTTTTTTTTATCAAACGATGCGCAAGGCTTGAGGCTCAAAAGTCAGCTCGGGTTGCGACCTTTTTTATAAGGCTATCGCGAAAAAAAAGTTGAGGAGGGGGGGGGGGGCGGATTCCCAAGGTGTGCTAGATTTATGAGGTAAAATTCAACAAAATTGGAATGGTCTTCAAAGACGAGAGACAATATTTGTTGCATGATAAAACTGTTATTTAAATGAATCAAGAACGTGGTGTAGCAACAGGTGAAACGGTGGATCTTTCTCCAAAAGATTGTAAAGGTTTGGAAAGACATTAGGTTGTGGTTTCATATGACTAACTAGCCATGTGGCCAATGTACCGGACTACCTTCGCAAATAAAGGCCACACTTGGAACATGTAGCCAGAGTTGTAGAACTTTGTCAAGTTTTTATTTTCAAATTTAGACTTTGTTTATAGTTTATTTATGCTTAGAAGCATATACTCACCCTATTTATAGCGATAGAAAATTAATTCCTCCTTTTTTCAGACATCTACTTTTCGTGTAATTTGGTTTTGGAATTTAGATACGCAAACGTGTGCAAACAAACTTGGAGATTACACGAAAATTAGATGTCTGAAAAGGGGGGGGGGGATTACATTTCTATCGCTATAAAGGGGGTGGTATGCTACTAAGGCGTAAACTACAAACAAAGTCTAATGTGAATATAGAAACTTGACAAAGTTCTACATTTTCGGGTGCATGTTCCAAGTGTGGCCTTTATTTACGGAGGTAGTCAATTAAATTGGCCACATTTATGGAGCTGATAACTGACCTGTTTATAAAGCTGCCAATGGATTCTCAGTGGTATTCCCTCCACACATCGACTGGATGTCTGCAGTGATGTGATGACACACACACACTGTGGATTGAGTCCGCGGCTGCTGTACTATTACACGCATCTGGGCACTCATGCGTTGATAGTATTATTGGATTCGTGTGAAAGAAGAATGCCACTTATCCTTGGGTGGGGCTTATCTGCGCCGGGGAATCCGGTCACGTACGACATCACGTGTCCGGATTGAATAAAGGAACGAGCAAGGCTATTATTAAATATACCTGGTCTGATCAAGGTCGTAGCCTATACCTCATTCCAGGGTCTACTTTCAACCTCCTGACCCTGGTGGCAACCTTGCTTCCCGTGTTCCGATTCGATCCGGTAAAAGCCATGCAGCAACGGATTACAATTTATATCATGTACTTGGTGCTATGACTTCCAACAAATAGAACTTACGTCTTTTAACAATCCTCACAAACAACAAGCCTCCATCCCTTTTCCATTCTGCTTATAGTAACACATTGTTTGTTTTTAATTACCCCTTAACGCCGACCAGAGGTCCCTTGGTAGAATGTGGAAGGAGATTATAGTTTTAGAGATGGGAGGAAAACCCCAGAATGATATTCTTGGGAAAAAACCACTGCATATCAGGCAGGGACTGAAAAGTCAATCCACATATTGGCCCAGGCGGGGTTCGAATCCGGGTCGTAGCAGTGGAAGGCGACCTGACTGTTGGATTGGTTTATAGTCATCACATTACACCTTTTTTTCTTCTTCTGATCCCACGCTAGACGCATTAATTCCGCCTGTGCGCCATTAACAGGACAAATATAGCACGGCTAGGCACCAGACTCTTCCGTACCAATAATTATAATCCCCGTTTGATCACCTCTCACGCGCTTACTCGTACAGGCGCGGTTGCGTTCGATTTAACTCTCATGTGACTTCTCGCGCTTACTCAAACTTGGCCCTGCATGAGCCGGTTACTAGGGGGTGTAACCCTGTATTAAAATTCTCAGAGACACCAGTGCTAAATGCCCGCACTTTAAAATTCTTTACAAATACTCATAACTTTCACAGGTATTTAAAATACAGAAAAATGATGATCAACACGTCCGCTTTCATTTTCTTTTCATATTTTGGTGTGTTGATCATTGAATTTTCGAGATATTCTCACCAAAAGAAGACGACCCCTATTTTCCCCAAAGCGGAAAAGTAGCCATCTTGAAAAACGATCCCTCCACAACATGGCAAAATAGCGCCACTTTTGCGAGCCCAATTGCAACCAAAATGCTCGGAACTGGATGCCCCAAGTTCGGGCCAGAGGTTCATTGCCATATCTCATCAATTCCCCAATTTTATGGCTCTCAGAACTCTCTAATATACAATTTTTGAGGGTATAAGTTGTATTCATGAGCTCAGCCGGCGGATGGATTTGGGCCTATTTACCGATGTGCACCCTTTAAAAGGCTCGAAAATTTGCAATGCCCCCCACCCCCACCAAAAAAAAAATTTTTTAGGGAAGAGAGATAGTATTGGTAATTAAAATTCCATGAAAAAAAAGAAAGGAAAAACATTATTCGAGGTCGATATGGGGCCTGAAAATAGTGCGGCTTTTTGGCGCCTGCTAGCTGTAGAGCGCCCCCAACGACAGTAAATCGAGTTTCAGCTACTTTGAAGCTCAAAATACCCCCTTTTTAATTCGCATTTGCTGTAATCGGCTGATGGCCGACAACATCCTTACGATTTGGGAGCATCTGTTGCGGAACAGCCCTTGTTGATAGCTTTAAAAAGCTTTTGCCCCCTCCCCATAAGGTTCTGCCCACTGAAAAACCACTGTCGCGACATAGCGCATGCACGGCGCGCGGCCATTTTTGTTAGTCTCTATGGGGCGCACACTGTATTAACATTCCCATAGACACCCGTGCTAAATGCCCATACTTCAAAATTCTTTTTAAAATACTCAGAACTCTCACAGGCATTTAAGCTGCACAGAAAAATGATGATCAACATGTCACCTTTCATTTTCTTTTCATGTTCTTGGTGTGTAAACCATTGACTTTTCGAGATATTCTCACCCAAAGAAGACGATCCCCATATTTTCCCAAAAGCGGAAGAGTATTTTGAAAAACGATCCCTCACTCCACATGGCAAAATAGCTCGGCGGATGGATTTAGGCCTATGCACCGGTGTGTACCCCTCGGGAACGTATCCCACAATACAATGTGAAAACATGTCGGCTAAGTCGAACGCTGCGGCGGCGGGGGATTTAATCATGTCTCAGCTTCACTTCACACTAGTACCAGACCACTGGAGAAAGGTTATTTTTTTACCCGGCATTTTTTGTTCACTTTTAAAGAGCACGTATTCTGGCTCGCTGTTGACGGATCGAATCCATTTTGCAAAGGGTATTTAACATCCACATGACCTCTTGACCTGGTTCGATGGCTATGGCTCGACCTCGAGTAACCCGAGACCGTTCGATTGCGCATGTGCATCTATGCACAAGACGAAAGTACGGGTAAGCGCGAGGGAAGTAATCGAACGCGGTGCGTGTGTTTAGTGTGCAAGATTTTTTAACATGAAATGATTCAGTGTATACCAGGGCAACCTCGTTCCCGCCACGACCTGCTTTTTCACCCTGGTATTGGATCATTTGCATGTTCCTTTAACATGCATATGCAATTAAATTAGGAATAGTCTGGTGTCTGGTTGTGCTTTAAATCAGTGTTTGTGTTTGCATGCGGTGATTGGGGTAAAACGGAATCAATTCGCCCCCTCGAAAAAAAGAGATAAATTGAGAATGTGCTGGAGAAAGTTCAACGATTTTGAGAACTTTGCCCCTCCTGAAAAAAATCCTGGCGACGCAAATGGGAATATTACCAGCGGATCTGTATTTCACAGAGTCCACATTTCGAGAATAATTTCCCACATTAACAAACCGTTCGGTAGTTTCTGGTTTAGAATTTTATAATTCTGACAGACCTTTTGCAAACCTTCTTGAACTTTGTGCATGATTGCTCAATTGTTCGATTTCACTTCATGAAGCATATTATTCAAAAACCCTTTCGTTATTTCAATGTCTATAGAGTGAAATTCAGCACCGGTGGCCGATTTGCTATGGGCAATCGATTTATTTGAACAGGGCTGCCTTTCATATTTTAATTCCCTGTATCAACATTTTAACAGTAGACTGACCGTATCGAATTCGTGGAGTAATCAATGAACTTGGCCACAGGTGTATGCGCGGGAACGTACACAAGGTTTCGATATACGGGGGCCAAAAGCTTTCAAGATGGCTGAACGTTACGTTCCCGAGCTATTTGTGTTAATTTCGCATCCACAAAATAGATATAAGCAATACAAAACTGATCATTTTTGAATGAGACATCAACCAAAAAACAAAAAAAAACAAATAATAAGCCCATGTTTAGTTATTGAATTATGACTAATTTCGAGTAATTAGCTGCCATGCTAATTCCGTTCTCGCGTGTCAGGCTGGTTCCCGCCCCACAATCAGTATCGATAATGTACGGACCGGGGGACAGTCTGCTCGCAAATTACGCGGATCTGTTTAAGCCCAACATACAACCTTTTCTGAAGAGGTTTCAGACGTCAAAATATGAACGTTTTGGGGGTTAAAATAAAACATACAAGTTGAAAATGCATTAATAGACAAAAATCGATATGTTGAAAAGCACGGGGAACGCGACTTTAATTTAGCTAATCAAAAGCCCTTTACTCTTTCCAATAGGAAAGTGTGTGTTTTATTGGCGAGCGAATTCCAAGTAGGAGTTTCCAAAGAAAGACCCTTCCCCGAATCATGTTCTTTAAGAAAGATTACGTCCTAGAATGCGCCAAGTTGGGCTACTAGACGCCTTTTAAACGAAATGATGTTAAAATGATGAGTATTTAAAAGCAGGATATAGACGTCCACACAACCATCCTTTAAAAACTGGGCGTTGTTGTGTTATCCTTTCGAGAACCATGCGAGAACGAATTTCGGGGGTCAACATTTTGACTCTCACAAATCGAGCTGCGGGGTGCTAGTTGTGAATACTGCCGCACAGTGTTTGGCATTCTGCGGACGTGCGAGAAACAGTATTTGTGTATTGGTGCTGTGTGTATTATGTGACACACACACACAACGTGTACCGTACATCGAATGGACATGGCTGTAAATACGTTTACCTAGGCCACAAAATGTCCGCCGCGTCCGATGTAAACAGCAGGTTTTTTTTGTCTGTTCTCGGGAACGTTTAGACATTAGTAGGTTTGTCCCTTTCAACCAGACTTTTGCAATAGGATACTTAAAGTAACAAAACATTCAATTTTCGGGGATTTCAGGCCGTAATGCCCCTTTAATGTACGATTCTTTAAAAAAGGAAAGAAAAGAAAAAAACACATCAGCACTGGTGATTTCGTACCAAATTTCATTTTGTTGCCAGATGCGAAATTCTGGTATTTTTTTTTATAAGTGTCTTCACGATCAATTCATAGGCCAATGCACTGATATAGGGACAGTGACTGGTGTTCGTGCCGCAGCCTTCAAAATAATGCAATTAACACCAGCCCCAGCATTGCATCATGGTCCAGTGGTAAAAATGTCATAAAAGGGAACCAACCAAGCGAACTGATATAAAAGCGTGTAATTGTCACAGGTCCCCGACCCCGGAATTCACCTGATCTCAATGGCTTTATAAGTGAGGGCGTATCGAGGGAAAGATCGTAAACCACTAGACACACGGCTTCGCTTAAAACCAAGTTGCTAGCGCGCGCCTGGATGCTTTGGACTTTCATTAGCCGTGTGTTGGCAGATCGGTATCTGTTTTATTGGCCTGCCGATACGATCTACACCGTAAAGACGCTTGGCACATCATTGATGTTCGTTCCCGTGTCGTGTATGTGGGTGTTGCGGCTGAATGTTGTCTACGACCACAATCTGCTAAAATTCTGCGCGACATTTCAGGAGAAAAGTGGTAAGTATTTATAGTTTTATCAATTTTACGGAAGGTTTGTCGCATTTCAGAGATGACGTTCAAATCCGTCAAACTCAGTTTAGTGCCATGATTACTATCTATACACCAATTAAGCTATATATAGCTACAAAATAATGATGTACTCTACCTTTAAGTTGTGTTGAAGTATACAA